CCAAAGTGATCCACTTGCCTCAGCCTCTTAAAGTGGTGGGATCACAGGCATGAGCCACCACGTCCAGCCCTGTGTACCTATGCTTTTTTTTTTTTCTTTTTTTTTTTAAGATGGAGTTTCGCTCTTGCTGCCCAGGCTGGAGTGCAATGGCCCAATCTTGGCTCACCACAACCTCCGCCTCCCGGGTTCAAGCAGTTCTGCCTCAGCCCCATGAGTAGCTGGGATTACAGGCATGCACCACCATGCCTGGCTAATTTTTTTTTGTATTTTTAGTAGAGACAGGGTTTCTAGATGTTGGCCAGGCTGGTCTCAAACTCCTGATGACCTCGGGTGATCCACCTGCCTTGGCCTCCCAAAGTGCTGGGATTACAGGCGCTGAACGCCCACCAGTGGCCCTGCCGCCACAAGCCGCTATTTCTTTTTTTTTTTTTTTTTTTTTGAGGGACGGGAGTCTCGGCTCTGGCTGCCCAGGGCTGGGGGTGCAGTGGAACATCTCGGGCTCACTTACAAGCCTACCGGGGCCTCTCGCCGGGGTTCATGCCATTCTCCTGCCTCAGCCTCCCGAGTAGCTGGGACTACAGGCGCCCGCCACCTCGCCCGGCTAATTTTTTTGTATTTTTAGTAGAGACGTGGTTTCACTGTGTTAGCCAGAGTGGTCTCGATCTCCTGACCTCGTGATCCGCCCACCTCGGCCTCCCAAAGGGCTGGGATTACAGGCGTGAGCCACCGCGCCCGGCCACCCAGCCATATTCTTAATCACTACCCCTACCATACTGTGTGCCCAAGTATAAGAATCTGGACTGCCTAGGATGTTCATCCACACATTTTATTTGTTCATCAAAGTCTTGCTTTGTGTAAGCTCCTGCTTAAATTCTTGGATACAAGGAAGCTCAGACTAATGGTGGTTCATTTTCTAGTGGGGAAAATAAACATGAAAATGAAAATGGGTCTTTAAATATGGCATGATAACTGCTGTCATAAAGGTTTGTATCAAGTCCTGTGAGAGCGACTGTGGAGATTCAGCCAAGGAGGTAATGTTTGTGCAGAATTTAAGTCATAGGAGATGAGAAGTTGGGAAGGTTGATGTCTTAGGGGAAGACTGCAGAAGGTTGGAAAAGGCAAAAATGAATGACATTTACGCAGGTTTAGAGGTGAGGAAAAGCATTCAAGAATCTAGTGAGCTGTAGAGGTATGGATGGTGGGAAGGTAGAAGTAGGAACCTCTGGAGGTTTTTTAACTTTTTAAAATTTAGAGACAGGGTCACATGTTGCCCAGGCTGGAGTGCAGTGGCTTTCACAGGCGCAATGGTAGCTTACTACAGTCTTGAACTCCTGGGCTTAAGCAATCCTCCCCCCTCAGCCTCCCAAGTAGGTGGAACTACAGGCACACACCATCACATCTGGCATCAGAGTGTTTTTTTTTTTTTTTTTGAGACGGAGTCTCGCTCTGTCGCCCAGGCTGGAGTGCAGTGGCCGGATCTCAGCTCACTGCAAGCTCCGCCTCCTGGGTTTACGCCATTCTCCTGCCTCAGCCTCCCGAGTAGCTGGGACTACAGGCGCCCGCCACCTCGCCTGGCTAGTTTTTTGTATTTTTTAGTAGAGACGGGGTTTCACCGGGTTAGCCAGGATGGTCTCGATCTCCTGACCTCGTGATCCGCCTGTCTCGGCCTCCCAAAGTGCTGGGATTACAGGCTTGAGCCACCGCGCCCGGCCCCAGCATCAGAGGTTTTTAAGAAGAGAAGAGGCTGGGGGCAGTGGCTCACACCTGTAATCCGAGTGCTTTACGGGGATCGCTTGAACCCAGGAGTTTGAGGCTACAGTGAACTATGATGGCACCCTTGCCCTCCAGCCTGGGTGACAGAGTGAGACCTAGTCTCTTAAAAAAAAAGAAAAGAAAAGAAATGCAGTCAGATTTGTGCATTGGAAAGGATAATTCTGGATTAGCGGAGAGAGGCTAGCACCAGTGGGAGACCAGTTATGGGAGGAGGCTCACTTACCAGTCTACGTAAGGGATGAGTCGGATGAACTGCAGGGTGTTGGGAGTGGGGACGGAAGAGCAGGAGGGGATGGAGAGAGCCAAGAGATTTAGGAAGAGAGCAGATGGACTTGGCGACCGATTAGATGAGAGTGGGAGGAGAAAAGGTTTGAAAATAACTCCAAGGTTTTTAGCTCAAACATCTGACTGGATTGTGATGCCAAAACACTGATTACAGAAAAAGGATCAGATTTTGCTTTAGATATGGTGATTTCTAAATGTTTACTGAAATTGGTAGCAGTTTATCTCAGGTAATTTTTGCCTCTCATCTCATGGGCATTCAAGGGGAGGAGTGCAAGACCAGATGTTTGATCAGTAACTGATGGGTTTCCCTTTGCCCACTGCTTCCCTGGGTCATCAGGAGTAGACAGAGGTGGACCTCAGCCCACCTGGCAGGTGTGTTATCCCCGATAGCCATGACCCTTCAGGTGGCTTGCTAAGAATGCACTGTTTAGGGGCCAGAACCTTGTTGAGACTGGAGGCCTTCACTTCCTGGCAGATATGCTGCTGTGTGCAGAAGAAGCTGCCCAGTGTGAGATGGCAGAAGAGCACCACAGGCACAGCCAGCTGGTAAGAGCCCTGCATCCTGGCATGGCTCCACTCGGCAGCCTTGCTTGGGTATCCACTCTTGGGGTACCCTGACCCCTATCACCTTCATTAAATGCAGTCAGCTATGGGTGAGTTTCAGTCATGAAACCTTCCTTCCATTGTAGGTGTCCCTATTTTCATTTTGGATTACAGGTGCTAATGGTGTAGGGTCAGAGGGCTTTGGAGCTGTAAAGGAACCTCAGAGATTTAGTCCTGAGCTTTTTTTTTACGTGGGAAAAACCCCTTTTGAGTGGCAGAAGCCTCATTTATAAAATAGATCAAAGTAGCCATGCCGTGGTTGAAGCATGTCAGGGAGTCAGTCCCTGTTCTACCTGCTACTGTTCCCTTCCCTTGCTATACGAGGTGGTCTTCGAATGTTTTCAGGAGCCTGTGGGGCTCCACAAAGCACAGTACAAAAAACCCTAATCCAGTCTGATATCTTCACTTCTGTCTCAGAAAATTGAAGCCTAAGGCTTGGGGAAATATGGGCAAATCAGCTTGGCTTAGTCAATTTGTGAGGCATTATTATTTTTTAGGGATGGGGTCTCACTATGTTGTCCAGGCTGGATTCAAGCTTCTGGGCTCAAGCAATCCTCCCACCTCAGCCTCCTGAGTAGCTGGGACTATAGGCATGTGCCACCATGCCCAGTGTTGAGGCATTATTATTATTACTATTAGAGATAGGATCTCCTCTGTCACCCAGGCTGAAGTGCCATGTTACAATCATAGCTTGCTGCAGCCTTGAACTCCTGGATTCAAGTGATCCTTCCACCTCAGCCTCCCAAGTAGCTGGGACCACAGGCACATGCTACCATGTCCTAACTAATTTTTTAGTTTTTTTTTTTTTTTTTTTTTTTTTTTTTTTTTTTTGAGACGGAGTCTCGCTCCGTCTCCCAGGCTGGAGTACAGTGGCGTGATCTCGGCTCACTGCAAGCTCTGCCTCTGGGGTTTCACACCATTCTCCTGGTTCACGGCCATTCTCCTGCGTCAGCCTCCCGAGTAGCTGGGACTACAGGTGCCCGCCACCATGCCCAGCTAGTTTTTTGTATTTTTAGTAGAGACGGGGTTTCACCGTGTTAGCCAAGATGGTCTCGATCTCCTGGCCTCGTGATCCACCCACCTCAGCCTCCCAAAGTGCTGGGATTACAGGTGCCAGGCCTAATTTTTTAGTTTTTTATACAGAGTCTCCCTCTGTTGGCCAGGCTGGTCTTGAACTCCTGTGCTCAAGCAGTCCTCCTGCCTCAGCATCCTAAAGTGTTGGGATTACAGGTGTGAGCCACTGCACCCGGCCTTTTAGGCATTACTGATGGAGCTGGATCCAGGTCCACAGTGGCCCAACCCCAGCCCTTCCTTTCACTAAAGAGTCCTTCTTCCGTTTTAGCAACTCTGCATTTATAGTCATATAAATGTACACACTGAGCCCATATGGGAAAAAAACAAAAACACAAAACCACCACAGACAAAAAGTCTTTTTCTGACAGGCAACAGCTGATGTTTACCTTGGTCTGTAGAATTGTCGTGTGGATCATGGCGTTCTCTCCTGGTGTAGGCGTGTGTGTTCTTGCGCAGTATAGATGGACAGCAGGGAGGGCTCAGCAAATATTTATTAAGTGCCTGCTGTGCAGACTGGCTTGTGTTAGACTCCCAGGTGAATCTCAAAGTAGAGAACCACACTCAGGGAAATAACAGCTATGAGAAGCTGTGACCACGCTTCTCTCCCCTCATTTGAGGCGCGGTCTGCCTTCACCTGCTCTTGGTTTACAGACTCTACTGATTCCAGTCCTTGTAATCAGTTGTGTCCTTTCTTTGCACAGTATTTTTGCTTTAGAGCCCTAAAAGACAATGTGACCCACGCCCATCTCCAGCAAATAAGAAGGAATCTCGCTCACCGGCAGCATGGTGTCACGGTAAGGGTTGTTGTCTGTATCAAGGGACCTCTCCTGATGGCCATTCTCTCTTGCTCTTTTTTCAGTCTTGCCAAATTAAGCAGAACTCTTTTTATTTATTTATTTATTTATTTATTTATTTTTTGAGACAGAGTCTCGCTCTGTCGCCCAGGCTGGAGTTCAGTGGCCGGATCTCAGCTCACTGCAAGCTCCGCCTCCCAGGTTCACGCCATTCTCCTGTCTCAGCCTCCCGAGTAGCTGGGACTACAGGCGCCCGCCACCTCGCCCGGCTAGTTTTTTGTATTTTTAGTAGAGACGGGGTTTCACCGTGTTAGCCAGGATGGTCTCGATCTCCTGACCTCGTGATCCGCCCGTCTCGGCCTCCCAAAGTGCTGGGATTACAGGCTTGAGCCACCATGCCCGGCCAGAACTCTTTTTAAAAAGACTTTTGTGCTTCAAGATTTGTCCAGACTATCAACTCTAAAACCTTGGTTTGCATTTTCTTTCTCTCTCTCTTCTTTTTTTTTTTTTTTTGACAGAGTCTTTCTCTGTTGCCTGAGCTGGAGTGCAGTGGCACAGTCTAAGCTCACTGCAACCTCCGCCTCCGAGGTTCAAGCGACTGTCCTGCGTCAGCCTCCCGAGTAGCTGGAATTACAGGCATGCGCCACTACACCTGACTAATTTTTGTATTTGTAGTAGAGACGAGGTTTCACCACATTGGCCAGGCTGGTCTCGAACTCCTGACTTCAGATGATCTGCCCGCCTCAGCCTCCCAAAGTGCTGGGATTACAGGCGTGAGCCACTGTGCTCGGCCTCTTTAGTTTGCATTTTCTTTGGTAATCCATACCTACTGATAGAAAAACTCTTGTTTTTGCCTTGTTTGAGCCCATTTTTTTAATCCGTTTGCTAAGAAAATGGGTAGTTGACTCAAAGTTCAGGGACTGTGGATTTTAACCTTGACCTAGGGGATGTAGTGATACAAACACACTTTCTTTCTGTTGTTCTGTCACCCAGGCTGTAGTGCAGTGGCTAACTGCAGCCTCAACCTCCCAGGCTCAGGTGATCCTCCTGCCTCAGCCTCCCAAGTAGTTGGGACTAGAGCTGTAAGCCACCACACCCAGCTAATTTTTGTATTTTTTGTAGAGACGGGGTCCCACTGTGTTGCCTAGGCTGGTCTCAAACTCCTGGGCTCAAGTGATCTGCCCACCTTAGCCTCTCAAAATGCTGGGATTACAGGTGTGAGCCACTGTACCCAACCCAAATACACTTTATTTATTTATTTATTTATTTATTTATTTTTGAGACAGGGTCTTGCTCTGTTGCCCAGGCTGGAGTGCAGCTGCAGTGGTGCGATCTCGACTCACTGCAACCTCCGCCTCCCAAGTTCAAGCAGTTCTCATGTCTCAGCCTCCCAAGTAGCTGGGATCACAGGATCACTTAAACTTTGTCACCTTAACCATTTTTAAGTGTACAGTTCAGTGGCATGTACATCCTCATTGTGCAATCATCATCACTATTCATCTCTAGAACTTTTTCATCTTGCAAAACTGAAACTCTGAACCCATTTCCTCTTTCCTCAGCCCCTGGAAACCACCATTCTACTTTCTGTCTCTATAAACTTGATTATTCTAGAGACCTCATAGGTGTAATTATACAGTATTTGTCCTTTTGCAACTGGCTTATTTCACTTAGCATAATGTATACTTTTTAAAATGACCGCCTTTTTTTAAAAAAAGGACAGGCCAGTTATTTTGTATATACAATTTATTTTTTATTATAATCATTCTTTTTAGAGACAGGGTCTCGCTCTGTCATCCAGGCTAGAGTGCAGTGGTGCGATCATAGGTCATTGTAGCCTCATCCTCCTGGGCTCAAGAGAATATCCTGCCTCAGCCTCCTGAGGAGCTAGGACTACAGGTGCACACCACCATGCCTAGCCTTGTAGAATGTTATTGTGGGGTTTTTGTTTGTTTTTGTTTCTGTGGTTTTTTTTTTTTTTTTTTTTGGTTGTTGTTTTGAGATGGTGTTTCACTCTTGTTGCCCATGCTGGAGTGCAATGGTGCGATCTCGGCTTACCACAACCTCCACCTCCCGGGTTTAAGCGATTCTTCTGCCTCAGCCTCCCAAGTAGCTGGGATTACAGGCATGTGCCACCACGCCCAGCTAATTTTGTATTTTTAGTAGAGACAAGGTTTCTCCATGTTGGTCAGGCTGGTCTCAAACTCCTGAGAACTCAGGTGATCTGCCCACCTTGGCCTCCCAAAGTGCTGAGATTACAGGTGTGAGCCACCACACCTGGCCCAATGTTTTATGTTCTTGATTTATCTGATTGTTTCCTTTTGATATCATTTAATTTTCCTTTGGTCTACATGGTTCCTATAATCGTTACATCTAAGGACTTGTTTAGATTGAAATTAAACATTTATGCAAGACTACTTCATAGGTAGGAATATGCAATAAAATCAGTTTTAATTTCCAGAATGGCTTTCTGAAATGTCCTTGTCTTCTGTGAGATTAGGAATAGCTTCTTCATCTAGATTTCCATAGACTGGAAGAACCATCTTTTTGCCTTTTATGTTGGCCCAGAATAGCTCTATAGTTCAGCCATCATTAATTTGTATGCCCAATGTATGTTGGCTGCTCCTAACTGAGGTAATTCCTGCTTTGGGGGAGCTCACAGTCTGTTGGAGTAAGGATTCACTGTTTTACCTTTCATCTCAGTAAATTTCCATTTTCTTCCTACCATGCTGCAGCTGCTGCACAGGTTCTGGAACCTCTGGCAGTCTCAGATTGAGGAGAAAAAGGAAAGAGAGCAGCTGCCCTTACTGCATGCTGCCTGGGACCACTACAGGTAGGGACTCTGGCTTCATCCCTGGCTCTCAAGGACTTTGTGCCTCTTTCTTACTGTTTTCCCGGTAATCACTTGCCCTTCTATGCATGAGTGTGGCAGACTCAGAAAGGCCTGCTGGGGTGGAGGTCCTGCTATAAACCGTTTGTTCCTGAATTTGGGATTTTGGCTGATCAGATGGGAGATAGAATAAGCATATGTGCATCAGTTCTTGGCCACCATAGTTGGGAGTATGTGCCTGGTCGCTCACTGCCTTGGTCCTACAGGCATCAATATGTTCCCAAGTTAGAATTCATGCATTACTAGTGTTAAAGAGAAGGGTCAGGGACATTTGTGACTCGGTCTTAAAGTGTGCAGGGAATGTTGTCAATATTTTAGAGCTAGTCGTTCAGTTAAAATAAATAAGAACACTACATTTCTGTGAGGAAAACTCAGAATGTATAGGGTGGAAAGTATAAAGGGAAAAATAAAAGTTGCCTGGTCCCCTCCCTACAAGAAAGAGTAAGATCTTACTCCGCAGAGCAGGGAAGTATGAACTCTCTTGCTGCCAGAAATGTTGAACATGTCCTCCCTTTCTTTCCTCTCCCCTTTCCTTCCCTGCACAGTATAATCAACTTATTTTGCATAGTTTAGGTCCAATTTTGAAGCATTTTTTAATGAGTTAGTGAGAATTCCAATAATTAACTGACTCATTTAGAGTTCTCAAGACATTATTCCAAACCCTGGTTTACAAAACCTAGTGTGAGAGGCAACATGTCATGGACCCCCAGGCTTCGGCCATGAAACCAGGAAGTTCAGGCTATCTAGGGGACTTCATACATATTTCCTAAACTCCAGAGCTACTGTGCTTTTGGTGGTCTAATTAGGTTTTACAAGAAAGTTGTCAACATTTTAGGCAATCCACAGTCCAGAATCGGAGGTTGACAGATTTTACATTAGATACCTGGTTCTTACTGCCCTCTCTCCTAGAATGAAACTAATAAGCCCATGGGGTGCCTTTAACTCACAGGAAGTAACTGTACCCTGATTTACCTGCCTTAAAACAAAGTTTTAAAAACGCGATGTTCTTCCTTTTGTTTCAGGATAGCACTGCTGTGCAAGTGTATCAAATTGTGGCTACAGTATACTCAGAAGAGGCGGTACAAACAGGTATGGAGTACTTTTTAGCAGATTGCTCTCCTGCCTTACATTCTTGGACCCATTTGCTTTGGAAAGATTCTTGGAAAAGACCTATGCCAAGAAGTCTTGTCGTTCTTCTTTGGAAGACAGGGTGTTGAAAAAGCTCAAAGGCGGCAGGGCGCGGTGGCTCAAGCCTGTAATCCCAGCACTTTGGGAGGCCGAGGCGGGTGGATCACGAGGTCAGGAGATCGAGACCATCCTGGCTAACACGGTGAAACCCCGTCTCTACTAAAAAATAACAAAAAAAAAACTAGCCGGGCGTGGTGGCGGGCGCCTGTAGTCCCAGCTACTCGGGAGGCTGAGGCAGGAGAATGGCGTGAACCCGGGAGGCGGAGCTTGCAGTGAGGTGAGATCCGGCCACTGCACTCCAGCCCGGGCGACAGAGCGAGACTCCGTCTCAAAAAAAAAAAAAAAAAAAAAAAAAAAAAAAGGTTCAAAGGCATTTCTTAAGGCATTTCTTCCAGTTTCCACCTCTGATATCAGAAAGTCTGCATAACTCCCATTTCTTATCTGCTATGAAAATGCAAGTTCTCTCTGAAAGTACTGAGCTCTTATCAGCCATTCACACCTTTACTGAAATTCTTTTAGTCTCTGAGTTAGCCAGCCCATCACCCAGTGGGGCCTGCAAGAGATACACGGAGAGGTGCAGAGCGTAAGTGCTGCATCCCAGTACTAAACAGTGTGAGACACATGTCCCCTGAAGGTGGAGGATGTGAGGTCAGGACCACAAATAAGTAAAGGCAGATTGAGAAAGATAGATCCATTCCATTTAAGAAACACTTACTGAGCAACTGCTGTGCCTCAGACACTGCACTAAGCACTGAGGATACAACCGTGATATAAAGTCAACAAAATTCCTGCTCTCCCAGGGCTCATACTTTAGCACCAGGGTGACAAATAAGTGTGACCTTACAAGCCCATTCTGCCAATTGGGAGTACCTTCTGGAATGTTGAACTGAGAAGGATTTCAAGGCCATGTTGACAGTCACTGGGAAAGGGTTCAGTTGATGGTGTCTGCCATTGTGAGAAGTGCCCCCTCTTTGGTCATCTCTGGAGTGTAACAGAGGAAGACACAAACCAAACTCCTCCCAGTTGTTTTCATGCTGCCCACCCTACCCATACCTCCATCTTCTGCTGGAGTCTAAGAGGCGAATCTTTAAATTCACCTGTTAGCTAGTTCCCTATAGTTTGGGGATAGAATCCAAATTTTTAGCAAGGCCTACAAACTCCTTTGGGAGCTGGTCCCCGTCTGTTTCTCTCCCCTTTCCTGTTACCGCTCTGCTCCTTCACAACTGCACTCTGACTGGTTAAGCTGCCAGTGGTTCCCTAAAGGTCCTCTGTGCTCTCCTGCTTATCTTGCTTATCTCTCCTGCTTCTCTTTGTACCTCCAGTTCTCAATTTCACACTCCTTTCCAGCTCAGATGTCACCTCCTCCCCCAGGCCAGTCCACCTCCACCCCTACCCCTGAGGCATGGCTTTATCAGAATATTCATCTTGTGGTTGTTCACTGGCTTCTCTTTCCTCCCAGGCAGTGAAGTCCTTTAGAGTACAGCCTGTCCGTTTTTCCTCCTTAGCCCGACACAGTGCTTGGCATGGGGTATGTGCTAATGTTTGGATGAATGAATGCACAGACCAACAAATGAACCGCCGTTGATTTCTTCAGAGCTTTTTTCCAAGGATGATATCAATTGGTAGAGCTTGGATGCTATAGGGCATGGCCTCTTTTTGCGTCACTCTTGCCTCCCACACTTAGGAAATGCTAGAGTCACTGCATTCTTTGACATGCCTTTGGATTATGTTACTAGCTTTGAAAAGTTCAAGTAATGCAAGTTCACCAGAATGTAGGAAAGCCTTTCAGAAAAAGACTGAGTGTCAGAGTTGAAAGGCTGTATTTATTCAAGGTGGAAAGCCGAGGGTCTCTTCTATTTCCTTCCTGGAAAACGAGCACTCCCCTTGACACAGGGACCCAACACTGGCAGCCAGTCTGGGGTCAGCATTTTCATCTCTCACGCTGATCTAGCATGGCCTGCTTTCAAAGGTATAGCAGGTCTGAAAAATAGGAAGAGCACTGCTTCGTCATTCCTAAACCTTCAGCTGACAATCTGAATATCACCTCTCGGTATAGGTATCCCAGGAGCACGTCAGTTCTTTCTATTCTTAGACAAGATAAAAATATTATTTTTTGTGGGTTTCTTCCTTTTTAAAAAGTGACATACAGTCAGCCCTCTGTATCTGTGGGTTCCACATCCATGGATTCAACCAACCATGGAAAAAATATTCAGAGGAAAAAAAGAATGGTTGTGTCTGTACTCAACATATGCAGACCTTTTTTTCTTGTCAGTAGTCCCTAAACAATATATAAACAATAGAGTATAACAACTATTTACATAGCATTTACATCGTGTTAGGTATTATGAGTAATTAGAGATGTATACAGGAGGATCGCCTAGGTTATATGCAGATGCCACATCAATTTGTTGTTGTTGTTGTTAGTTTTTTGTTTTGTTTTGTTTTTGAGACAGGTCTCACTTTGTCACCCAGGCTGGAGTACAGTGGCATGATCTTGGCTCACTGCAGCTTCACTCTCCCCAGCTTCAAGTGATTCTCCTGCCTCAGCCTCCCAAGTAGCTGGGACTACAGGTGCACGCCACCATGCCCAGCTAATTTTTGTACTTTTTGTAGAGGTAGGGTGTCGCCATGTTACCCAGGCTGGTCTCAAACTCCTGAGCTCTGCCTGCCTCGGTCTCCCAAAGTGCTGGGAGTACCGACGTGAGCCACTGCACCCGGCCTGCTATACCATTTTATATAAGAGACTTGAGTATCCATGGATTTTGGTATTCCCCCACGAATACCAAAGGATGGTGCTCTGCAGAATGGCGAATTGTTTGCTAACTGTTGAAGCTGGGTGGTAGGGTCATAGGTATTCGTTATACTGTCAGCTTCTACTTTTGCTTACATTTGAAAATGCCCATAAAAAAAAAAAAAAGAAAAGCAATGTGTAGATATAGAAAATTTAGGAAGTATAAAAAGACATAAAGAAGAAAAAATGAAACCATTCATGACATTTAATGGGTAAACCTGGTATCTCTCTTCTTCTGTGGGGGTAGAAGTGTATGTACCCATCTATTCACATACATATACATATGCATACTGATCCAGTTATCTATTGCTGTGTAAAAAATCACCCCAAATTCAGTGGTATAAGACAACAACCGTTCTTTTATGCTTTATGGATTCTCAAAGATTGAGACAGAACATTATGGGAATGGTTGGTTTCTGCTCCAAAATCAGCCTCAGCTGAAAAGATTCTAATGGCAAGGGGTTAGAATCATCTAGAATTTTCTTCATACATCTCTAGATCCTGGACTAGAATGACTCAAAGACTGGGCTCAACTGGGAATGTTAGCCAAAGAACCTGTATATGACCTCTTTGTGAGGCTTGGGCTTCCTTGCAGCATGGCGGCCTTGGGGTAGTCAGCCATCAGGGCTTCAAGATGAGTGTTCCAGGAACAAGTCAGAAGCTCTGTGGCTCTTTATATAGCCTCAGAACTAACAGAGTGTCACTTTTACCATGCCCTATTGGTCAGAGCAGTCACTATCCCAGCCAGATGCAAGGGGAGGGAACATAGATCACTTCTCAGTGAAGGAAGATCAAAGAATTTGCAGCCATGTTTTTAAAACCTCTACACATATTGGCCGGGTACAGTGGCTCACACCTGTAATCCCAGCACTTTGGGAGGCCAAGACAGGCGGATCGTGAGGTCAAGATATCAGGACCATTCTGGCCAACATGTTGAAACCCCATCTCTACTAAAAAATACAAAAAGTAGCTGGGTGTGGTGGCATGTGCGTTGTATCCCAGATACTTGGGAGGCTGAGGCAGGAGAATCACTTGAACCCGGGAGGCAGAGGTTGCAGTGAGCTGAGATTGTGCCACTGCACTCCAGCCTGGCAACAGAGTGAGACTGTCTCAAAAAAAAAAATAAAATAAAAAAACCTCTACACATGCGTATATGCTTTTTCCCCCAAAGTTTTGGATCATAGAGGCATATACAGTATATTCTTACGTCCATTGTCTGTCTTACCTACTGATGTATCAGTAAAATAGTAGACTTTTATAATTACATAAATATGTATGACAAACACTATAAACAAAATGAAAAGATAAATATTATGGAGTGGGGAAATATTTAGATTTATAACACATGACAAAGGACTAATAAATTGTTTAGGTTTGAAAACCCCATACATATCAGTGAGTCGAATGCTAACAGACAGTGAAACAGGTAGTGGGTATGAACACCTAAGTCATGGGGAAGAGAGAGAGAGAGAGAGTGTGTGTGTGTGTGTGTGTGTATGTATTTGTAGAAATGCTTAACCAATGTTTAAGTGAAAATTTTTTCACCTCTTTCATTTTTCTTCTAGCATATTGGCAAAGATAATAATTTTCATCTTTTTCTCATTTTTATTATATAGGAAGCAATCCTCCCACAAGAGTGTGACCCTGAAAGGTCATATTAAAAAAAAAAAAAGTTAAGTGCAATGGTCATTCTTTGTTTTGCTTCAGCGGCTACAGGCCAGAGCGGATGGTCATTTCCAGCAGAGAACCCTGCCTGCTGCCTTCCACACGTGGAAGAGACTCTGGCGATGGCGCCAGCAGGACAATGTCCTCAATGCAAGAGCAACACGTTTCCACAGGTATAGTGCTCAGCTCCTGTCTGCACTGGGGCAGGTGTCTCAAATCTAACTCTGCCAATCACGCAGCCCATTTGCTGTGCTTTTCGGCTTCCCAGACCACCCCACGCCCTAGTACTTCCTGGATTTTCAATAATGTGGGCTCATTGATTTCATCTAGCAGGAAAAGACAAGACAGTATTTCCCCTGGGAAATCTTTTGTCCATCTTTATTGCAAGGGCTTTCAAAACAGCCTGTTTCATCATTAGCCACTGAGAGCTCCATTAAAGCAGCCCATTAGCTTTCTGGATCAGAGCATGGTAGGACCTTGCATCACCTTGGCAGACATTCTTGAATGTCATTTCCCCGAAGCACTTCATTCCTGTTCTGCTAGACCTGGCTTTTTGAAGTCTTGAAATTATAGTCATCAACAAAACTACAAAGGTCGGGCCGGGCGCGTTGGCTCACGCCTGTAATCCCAGCACTTCAGAAGGCCAGGGCAGGCCAATCACAAGGTCAGGAGTTCAAGACCAGCCTGGCCAACATGGTGAAACCCCATCTCTACTAAAGATAGAAAAATTAGCCCGGAGTGCTGGCATATGCCTGTAATCTCAGCTACTTAGGAGGCTGAGGCAGGAGAATTGCTTGAACCCGGGAGGCAGAGGTTGCAGTGAGTCGAGATTGCGCCATTGCACTCTAGCCCGGGTAACAGGGCAAGACTCCGTCTCAAAAAAAAAAAAAAATTAGAAAGCTCAAGGAGCAGAGCTACATCCTTTTAGTTCCCACAAGGGGCAAACTTGCCCACAGCAGGTTCTTAGTATGTGGTGGGACATAATGAAGAAATTATTATTTATTTATTTATTTTTGAGATGGAGTCTCGTCCTTTCACCCAGGCTGGTGTGCAATGGCATGATCTCAACTCACGGCAAATTTCACATCCTGGGTTCAACCAATTCTCCTGCCTCAGCCTCCCAAGTGGCTGTGATTACAGGTGTGTGCCACCATGCCCAGCTAATTTTTTGTATCTTTAGTAGAAACAGGGTTTCACCATGTTGGCCAGGCTGGTCTCGAACTCCTGACCTTGTGATCCACCCACCTTGGCCTCCCAAAGTGCTGGGATTACTGGCATGAACCACCACACCCGGTGATGAAGAAATTATTAATCACTAACTGTATGTCTGCCACTGTGTTGGGCGTTGTGTGATGGAAGACAGAAAACAAATACATAAACTCATTCTGCCCATGGCATCATTATCTTCATTAATCATTTCCTTTTCACAGCCATCCTGAGAGAGCGTGTTCAAAATGATAAGTGGTAGCACAGCCAGTAAGTGGCGCAGCCAGGGTTTAAATTCAAATCTCCAGTTCCAAAGTCCAGGTGCTTTCTTCTTGATCAAGAGGAAGAGCTTTTTGATGACTTTGTAGGCGGGTGAAATTTTTGTGAGGAGGTAAGATTGACATACAAGAAACAACTGAGAACCAATTCAAGACAATAGATCCATGTGTCCCCAGTCATGTCAGCCACAAGTTCCTCCAGCGCTCAGAGCTAGTGCCGAGGGAGGCTGAGCATGGCAGTGTCTGGGAGAGGCTTCCTGTGAGTGAGAGGGTGAGGATGGTGGCTGGAGTGGGCAAGAAGGGGAGGCCCAGACTGAAGGGATTGGGCTGACCCTATAGATAGATATCCAACAGATATTTGAGCAGGTGCATGGAACTAGTAAAGTGACAGTTTTGGAAATTACCTTAAGTTCAGTGTACTTTATCTTAGGACAGAGGGGTGAAATGGAGGGGCATGCATTGGGAGAAGTTGCAGTCATCTTAAATCTGGAGAATTTCAGGCCAGGTGCGGTGGCTTATGCCTGTAATCGCAGCACTTTGGAAGGCCGAGGTGGGTGGATCATTGGAGGTCAGGAGTTTCAGACCAACCTGGCCAACATGGTGAAACCCTGTCTCTACTAAAAATACAAAAATTAGCAGGGCGTGGTGGCGCATGCTTGTAATCCCAGCTACTCTGGAGGCTGAGGCACGAGAATCGCTTTAACCCAGGAGGCAGAGGTTACAGTGAGTTGAGATGGCGCCACTGCACTCCAGCCTTGGATGACAGAATGAGACTCCATCTCGAAATAAATAAATACATACATACATACATACATACATAAATAGTCTGTCCATCTATCCATCTGGAGGGTTTTGAATGCTAGTTTGACATTAGCTAAAACTCTGGGTTCCTTAGCATGAAGTCCAGGGAGATGGTTTTAGGTGGTGGCCACGGGGAATAGAGGCTGATGAAAGGACAACTCTTGTCTCTTCCAGCTTCTGCAGACAGAGCAGCTTTGCCTTTACCTAGGTCCTATATTGTGGGCTGGTATAAGATTCCTTCAAAAAATGGCTGGCTTCAGGCTGGACGCGGTGGCTCACACCTGTAATCCCAGTACTTTGGGAAGCTGAGGCAGGCAGATCACCTGAGGTCAGAAGTTCGAGACCAGTCTGACCAACATGGCAAAATCCCATCTCTACTAAAAATACAAAAATTGGCCAGGTGTGGTGGCACACATCCCAGCTACTCGGGAGGCTGAGGCAGGAGAATCACTTGAACCTAGAAGATGGAGGTTGCATTGAGCCAAGATCGCACCACGGCACTCCAGCCTGGGCAACAGAGCAAGATTCCATCTCAAAAAAAAAATGGGCCAGGTGCGGTGGTTCAAGCCGGTAATCCCAGCACTTTGAGAGGCCGAGACGGGCGGATCACGAGGTCAGGAGATCGAGACCATCCTGGCTAACATGGTGAAACCCCGTCTCTACTAAAAAATACAAAAAACTAGCCAGGCGAGGTGGCGGGCACCTGTAGTCCCAGCTACTCGGGAGGCTGAGGCAGGAGAATGGTGTAAACCCAGGAGGCGGAGCTTGCAGTGAGCTGAGATCGGCCACTGCACTCCAGCCTGGGCAGCAGAGCGAGACTCCGTCTCAAAAAAAAAAAAAAAAAATGGCTTCAGTACTTAAAACACACACACACAGTACCCCTTTCTTTTTTTATTAACAAGTAGCCATGCTTGGTTCTATTCTTTTTTTATATTTTGTATGCTGTGAGAACTAAAAATTAAAAGTACCTTCAAAATAGCCAAGAGGAGCCTTTAAGAGATGTTTGCTAGGGAGCAGTTTTGGGTGGTTTTAGAGCTATCACTCTGGAGAAAAAGGGCGGAGGGTGACTTGGAGACAGGGTATAGCCAGGAGGCTTGCAGAATGGGGTAGGCCTGATCTGGATTTTTACCTGTTTTGGCTTGGTTGGACCTTTTTACGAAACTTGGTTTTTCAGATTCCTGTTTTCCTTGTTCATGAGCAGAGTGACTGAGAGTCTGGCTTAGAAGCTGGACAAGCCTGAGTTCCGACCTATGCTCTGTTACTTGCCAGCTCTGTGACCCTGGACAAGTCAATCTGTCTCTGAGCTTCAGTGTCCTCGAATGTAAAATTGAGATGATGTGGCCATAGTCTCTATCTCATATGGTTGTCATGAAAATGAAATGGGATGATACATGTAAAATACAAGCCAAGGGCCTGGCACAAAAATATGAACTATCCCCCTGGCCCCTGGAGTTGGTTTAATTTGTGACTCTCATGGTAAGTACGTGTTCAGAGGATTGGTTTGGAGTTTAGCAAATTAAAGTTCCAAATAAATACATATCTTTGATATTCTTAGGGTATTTTTTAATGTTTTAGGAATATAGGCAGATTTTATGATGGAATCTCATGAATTATGGCTAAAAGTAATTTTTTATTTATAAAATTTATATGTAAATTTTAAAACTATATATTTTAAAGCTATATAAAATTTATAACCCTCCAGTGAAAGGTACTGAGAATGAGACAAAACTGGTTTGTCTTTTATTTTAATTGAGATAAAATGTATATACAGTGAAAGGCACAGATTTTAAAGAAAATTTGATGAGTTTTCATAATTTTTTTTTTTATTTTTAGTTTTTGAGACGGAGTCTCACTGTGTCACCCAGGCTGGAGTGCAATGGTGCCATCTCAGCTCGCTGCAAGCTCCACCTTCCGGGTTCATGCCATTCTCCAGCCTCAGCCTCCCGAGTAGCTGGGACTACAGGCGCCCACCACCACGCCTGGCTAATTTTTTGTAGTTTTTTTTTTAGTAGAGACGGGGTTTCACCGTGTTAGCCAGGATGGTCTCAATCTCCTGACCTCGTGATCCACCCGCCTTGGCCTCCGAAAGAGATGGGATTACAGGCGTGAACCACCATGCCTGGCCGAGTTTTCATAATTTATATACCTATATAATCAACACTCCAGTCAAGATATAGAACATTTCTATTACCCCAGAAGGTTCCTTCACGTCCCTCCAGTCAGTCTCTACCCTGCATAGGTAACCAGTGTTCTGATTTCAGTCATCATCGGTTGGTTTTGCATGTTTTTTTTTTGTTTGTTTTGTTTTGTTTTGTTTTGTTTTGTTTTCAGATGGAGTATCATTCTTGTTGCCCAGGCTGGAGTGCAATGGCGCGATCTCGGCTCGCTGCAACCTCTGCCTCCCAGGTTCAAGCGATTCTTGTGCCCCAGCCTCCTGAGTAGCTGGGACTACAGGCGCCTGCCACCACGCCTGGCTAATTTTTTGTATTTTTAGTAGAGACGGGGTTTCACCATGTTGGCCAGGCAGATCTTGAACTCCTGACCTCAGGTAATCCACCCTCTTTGGCCTCCCAGGGTGCTGGAATTACAGGCATGAGCCACCACGCTCGGCTGAATATATATATATTTTTTTTTGGTGAGCAGAAGTGTTTGATTTCTGTTGGGTTAATAAGTCCAACTGATCTTTTTTTTTTTTTGTTTTTTTGGAGATGGAAGTCTTCGCTCGATTGCCAGGCTGGAGTGCAGTGGATCCGCAATCTCGTTCACGCAACCTTCCGCTGACCCTCCCAGGTTCAGCACTTTCCTGCCTCGCTGTCGTGGTTAGGTGGATTTACAAAGCCAGCCCACGCCCAAGCTAATTTTTGTTAAGAGTGAGGATTTCACCATGTTCGTCAGGCTAGTTCTCGAACTCGGGCTGGGACGGTCATGAGTTGCCCACTCAGCCTTCCCAAAGTGGTTGATTACGCGGTAGCGTGACTACCACGCTGGGCAAATTTATCTTTTTTTTTTTATGCTGTGTGGATGTTGTAGGGTCCTCCCTAAGAATTATTGCTTATGTAAGATCTGAAAGATATTTTCCTATTTTGTATCTGGAAGTTTATGTTTTTTTTTTGTTTTAGATTTGTTTTAATGGTCAATGTATCTTGTGGAATGGTTTTTTTTTCTGATGTATTAATGTAGATAATGTGCTTTTACTTTGCACACCATTTGTTAAAGCCTTTTTTTTTTTTTTTTGTTGAGAAATTCCTTTTGCAGGTGGGAACATCTTCACCCCACCCTCTGCCCCGTTTAAGCGATTCATTCTGTCGCTCCCAAGTAGTGGGACTTGTAGGCACAAACAAGCCCAGCTTATTTTGTGTATTTGTTGTAGTACGCGGCCGGGGTTTCATCATGTTGACCAGGATGGTCTCGGATCTCTGTTGACCTCGTGATCGACCCACCTCCGCCTCCCAAAGTACTGGAATTACAGGTGTGAGCCACCATGCCTGGCCAAAAAGACTTTATTCTCTCATTGAGTTGTTTGGTTCATTTATATTTAGTGTAATCACTGATATGGTTGGGCTGATGTCTACATCTGTTTTTTGTTTCTCTCTTCCTTTTTTTTCCTTTTTTTTCTAAGATAGAGTCTTACTCTGTCGCCAGGCTGGAGTGCAATGGCGCGATCTTGACTCACTGAAACCTCCGCCTCCTGGGTTCAAGTGATTCCCCTGCCTCAGCCTCCTGAGTAGCTGGGACTACAGGCATGCACCACCATGCCCAGCTATTTTTTTGTATTTTATTAGAGACAGGGTTTCACCATGTTGGCTAGGATGGTCTGAGTCTCCTGAGCTCGTGATCCACCCGCCTCAGCCTCCCAAAGTGCTGGGATTACAGGGATGAGCCACTGCGCCCAGCCTTTTTTCTGCCTTTTTAAGGGTTCATTTAAATTTTTTTAGTATTGTATTTCCTGCATCAACTTTTTAGCTCTGTATTATTTGTAGTTTTTAGATTGTTTTAGGAATTACAGTGTGCATCCTTATTACAGTTGTTTGTATGTATGTATCTCTCTGTTTGTCTATGTATCTATCTGTTTATGTTTTAGAGACAGGAGCTTGTCCTGTCACCCAGGCTGGGGTGCAGTGGCACAGTTTTGGCTCACTGCAGCCTCTTCCTCCTGGGCTAAAGTGATACACCCACCTCAGCCTCCCAAGCAGCTGGGACTACAGATGTGTGCCGCCATACCAAACTAATTTTTTTTTCTAATTTTTGTAGAGAAAGGGTCTCACTATGTCGCCCAGGCTAGTCTCAAACTCCTGGGCTCAAGTGATCCTCCTGCCATGGCCTCTTACTGTTCTGGGATTATAGGTGTGAGCCACCATGCCTGGCCCAGTTCTGTTTAGAATTAATATACTATTTCATGTTTAGTGCAAGAACATAAAAACAATAAAATTCTATTTTGTTCCCATCCTTGATGATATTATTATTTTTAGAAATAAACATTGTGGGGTCTCACTATGTTGTCCAGGCTGGTCTTGAACTTCTGGGCTCAAGACATCCCCCTGCCTCAGCCTTTCAAAGTGCTGGGATTACAGGAGTGAGCCACCACCCCCAACCAGTGGTACTTTTTGTCATACATTTTATGTGTAATGATTGATTGTAGAGACGAGGTCTCACTATGTTGCCCAGGCTGGTTTTGAACTCCTGAGTTCAAGCAATCCTCCTGCCTCAGCCTCCTGAAGTGTCAGGGTTACAGGCATGAGCCACCATGCACACAGCCTACAACGTTACTATTTTTGCTTTAAATAATCAGTAGTCTTTTTATAAATCGAGAAGGAAAAAATGCAGCCTTTTACATTTACCCACATATTTCCCCTTTCCAGTGTTCCTTGTGTTTTCCTATATATTTGAATGTTCATCTGTATCATTTCCCTTCAGCCTAAAGATGATCTTTTAGTGTTTTTATACTAAGGTCAACTGGGGTCGAACGATCTCAGCTTCTGTGTCTGGTCTCTCAACTCTGGCTGGGCCAGAGCTCCATCTTACAACCCTGTCTAGCTTCTCCTGTCTCTGTTCTCCTCTTGGCCCTGCACAGTCGCTCTCTGCTAGGCCTCCAGGAGTCTGCATGTGTGGCCCTCATCTGAGGACCTGGGACAATCTCAGTGAAATTTTGGGTACTTCCCTCTGTTCAGCTGTCTCCTTTCTAGTACCCTGCCCCCAAATTCCAGCCCCTCTGGCAGTCATGAACTCCAGTCTTTGCCTCCTCAGCTCACTGAGGCTGAGGGAGGCTCTGCTTAGCCTCCCTTCCTCTCACTGTTTAGAAGGTACCCCCAGGCAGAAAGTCTGGGCGGCCTCGGGGCTCACCTCGCCTGTGTCCTGTCTTTTCAGCATCAAAATCTACACTTACTGTCCAGCGCCTGAAGACAGTTGCCACATACGTTTTGTCTAGTTTTGTCATATATGGCCAGAGGGTAGGTCCAAGACCAGTGACTGTGTTCTGCCTGCAAGTGGAATCTTTGCTTTAAGTGATGTGTCTTGTGTGTTAAATATCAGGGGAGCGAGATCCCGCAGTGCTGAACGCGGATCCTATGGCTCCACCAGCGTGGTGCCCCTAGTGACTGTTGATCAATTATCGCAGCACTGCTGTTGCAGGATTTCATGTTGTTAATGGTGATCTGGTAGGCCTAGGCAGAGATGACAAAACAGTGGTTCCCAAACCTTTCTTTTTTTTTTTTTTTTTTGAGACGGAGTCTCGCTCTGTCGCTCAGGCTGGAGTGCAGTGGCCGGATCTTAGCTCACTGCAAGCTCCGCCTCCCAGGTTTACGCCATTCTCCTGCCTCAGCCTCCCGAGTAGCTGGGACTACAGGCGCCCGCCACCTCGCCCAGCTAGTTTTTTGTATTTTTTAGTAGAGACGGGGTTTCACTGTGTTAGCCAGGATGGTCTCGATCTCCTGACCTCGTGATCCGCCCGTCTCGGCCTCCCAAAGTGCTGGGATTACAGGCTTGAGCCACCGCGCCCGGCTGTTCCCGAACATTTCTACTTTCCTAATTCACCTGGAACACTTGTTTAAAATACAATTTCCTGGGATCCTCCTCAGACTTGCTCAGTCAGCCTTAGGGGTCTGCCCCTTGTTTTTCAACAGGTCCCCAAAGGATTGGTCAGTGTGCACTGGAAAGGGCTCCACGAACAATCCTTTATCAGTGTTGTTAAGTCAGTATAGAATTAATGAAGACCTGGGGTCTTAGGGTCGGACTCTTTTTCGTACGGGGTGAAGGCTTGGCTGATACCAGAAATAACTTGGAAAATGTTGGCCTTTTTAAAAGTTTGTGGTTTTTTGGCTATCTGCTTTTCTTCCCTTTCTCTTTGTGTTGCTTTCTCCCTCATCTAAGCTTATTCACCTCTCTTCTTTTTTTCAGAGACAGGGTCTCACTCTGTTGCCCAGGCTGGAGTGGAGTGGCATGATCATAGTTCACCACAGCCTCAAACTCCTGGGCTCAGGCGATCCTCCCACCTCAGCCTCCCAGGTAGTTGGGACTACAGGCACACACTATCACACCCAGCAGTTTTTAAATTTTTTTGTAGAGATGGAGTCTTGCTATGTTGCCCAGGCTGGTCTTGGTCTCCAGCGATCCTCCTGCCTTGGCCTCCCAAAGTATTAGGATTACAGACATGGGCCACTGTGCCCAGCCACTTAACTCACCTCTTATACCATAGCATGGTATAAAAGGAAAAATCCAATTATTTGGAACTTCTAGTTCTGTTTGGGTTAATTTTTGGTTTTGTTAAGTGCTTTACATTCTTCCTTGTTTTTTAGGGAGACATTAGAGAAGCAAGTATTTTCTATCTGGAGGCAGAAGACGTTTCAGCATCAAGAAAACCGCCTGGCAGAGAGAATGGTAAGTGGCTGCCCCTGAGGAGATGTGTGGATGGGCAGGATCTGATTCAAGCCGTTGCACTCATGGCCTCCCCTCCTCAGGAAGTTGCTCGGACCTCACTGGAGGGCTCCTGCCTGAGACTCTTGAGGCAGGGCAGGCTCTGGGGCATCTGTCCTTTCTCAGTGGAGCCTACAGACAGCTTCTGGGCTGTACCATATTCTGACGTCCATTCCTTTTGCCTTAGTCATTATTTGTGGCCTGTAAATTCTTTCCTGGCTTCTGTGCCTCTCTCCTACTTGACTTATTCTGTTCTCTCCTTCCTGTCCTGCCTCAGGCCATCCTCCACGCAGAGCGACAGCTTCTGCATAGGTCTTGGTTCACGTGGCACCAGCAGGCAGCAGCACGTCACCAGGAGCAGGAGTGGCAAGCAGCGGCCTGTGCTCACCACCGCCATGGGCGGCTCAAGAAAGCTTTCTGCCTCTGGAGGGAAAGTGCCCAAGGGCTCAGAGCAGAGTGAGTGGCCAGTTCTGCCTTAAAAGCCTTTCTATTCCAGGCCAGCTTTGATTGTACTAGCAGCACCATCAGCTTCAAGTGCCTGTCTGGAGGATTGCTTTACCCCAGACTCTGGTTGTAAGTTCTGGAAGTTCAACCTAAAAGAGTCTAACTAAAACTAGGTTGGCTGGGCGCAGTGGCTTAGGCCTGTAATCCCAGCACTTCAGGAGGCTGAGGTAGGCAGATCACCAGAGGTCAGGAGTTCGAGACCCGCCTGACCAACATGGAAAAACCCTGTCTCTACTAAAAATACAAAATTAGCCAGGCATGGTGCTCCATGCCTGTAGTCCCAGCTACTCGGGAAGCTGAGGTAGGAGAATCGCTTGAACCTGGGAGGTGGAGGTTATGATGAGCCAAGATCGCACCATTCTACTGTAGCCTGGGCAACAAGAGCGAAACTCCGTCTCAAAAAAAAAAAAAAGGATTGTAACAGCAGGACCTTGGGGTACTTCATGGAACTCACAGCCTCAGGAATTTGGCTGGGCATAGAAGTTCTCAGTGGATCGGGGAGGTCCTGCTCATTGGCCACATCCTGCTTACACATGGGGCCCATTCGAAGTGACCATAGCCAGGTTGGGAGGCCGAGGCAGGTGGATCACTTGAGCTAATGAGTTCAAGACCAGCCTGGCCAACATGGCAAAACCCCATCTCTACTAAAAATACAAAAATTAGCCAGGCGTGGTGGCACAAGCCTGGAATCCCAGTTACTCAGGAGAGTGAAGCATGAAAATTGCATGAACCCAGCAGACGAAGGTGGCAGTGAACCGAGATGGCACCGCTACACTCCAGCCTGGGCAACAGAGCGAGACTCTGCCTCAAACAAACAAAAGTGGCCATAGCAGGGAATACACTGATGGGCCCATGCTGTGACAGCTGACCGCTGCAGATAAGGGATAGGGACCAGCAGCTGTGGCCAGTGGGTGGGCTGTGGCAGTTTTTAACCACACCACGTAGTTAGAGAGAGGAGGGTAGGCAGCCCATGTGTCTGCTGCAGAGGCTGTCCTGCTTTGGGGCCTTTCAGTATCCACTGTGTGTTCTGAGGATCTCACTCCCTGTCAAACTCTGACCATGTTTAACCACTTTCTCGGTCGGGGGCTTCACACCTGCACATGTGAGCTTCAGTGGCACTTGAAGCCCTGGGAAGTAGGCCAACATGTGATCACAGGTGCTTTTTTCTGAGAGTGCAAGTTCTTTGGCAGCTCTTCAGAGAGGGTCTCTGCTCCCCCCAAAACTTAACCAGGTAGGGCCATGGACTGTGAGGGGGAGCCCGTAGAGGGTGCCCTTGCTGGGTGGGGGCTGCAGCACTGAGCTCTGCCATCTCCCCACAGGAGGACGGGCAGGGTGCGGGCAGCAGAATTCCACGTGGCCCAGCTCCTGCGCCGGGCCTGGAGCCAGTGGAGGGAGGTAAGGCTTTGTGGCGAGTGCCACCCGTGTATGGCTTTTGGACAGGTGGGCTGTGTGTCAGCGGGACTCAGGCGACGTATGGGCCACACCACCTACCTCTGAGCCGAAGGAAGAGAGCAGGCAGCACATAAAGTGTTAACTCAGTTTTATGAGATGATTGGCTGAAAATTTTGTGTTCTTTCAGGTACTAGGCTGTTCTTATTTGAACTTACTGCATCTAAAATGCCTGATCTAACCGTTTACAGGAGTCCTAGTGAGTGTTAAAAACGTTTAAACTCACAATTGAGCATTTACTGCAAATCAAGCACTTGCCTCATCCAGTCATCACAGAACCCCTGCGAAGCGCATATTTATCGATGGGGCCAGAGAGGTGAAGTCATTTACACTCACACAGATGACGTATAAAATGGAGGCAAAGCAGGAAGCCACCCCCACCTCAGACGCCAGCCCACGGTGGCCACTGTCTCCTCTGTCTGCAGTGCCTGGCCGTGCGGGGGGCGGAGCGGCGGAAGCTGACGCGAGCAGATCGGCACCACCAGCAGAGAGTGCGGCACAGGGCGCTGCAGGCGTGGGCGGTAGGAGCTGCTGCTTCCCTCCTGATCTCCGTGCTCTGGGGACCGGGGAGGTTTCTGGAGACTGTTTCCCTTCTTTGTTCTTCCTGTCCCTCCCAGAACAGAGTCATGTGACACACCTCAAACCAAGCAAGTGCCCCAGACAGCGGGCCTTAGGCCACAGGGTTCTTTGATTCTTGCTTGGCCAAGTGGAACCAGGTGCTGTCGATGGGTACCAGCCTTGTAGTGAAAGCAGCTCCTGGCCCTGGAGGCCCATGGTTTGACTTAGCAGGTGAGGGCCTGTGAGACACTTTCTCCCTGTCGTCTGGGAGGGTCTGCTGGCCCTGGGACCAGGGGCTGTAGGCCTCTCCCTGCTATTTTTGAGTGCTCTGGGCATGGCAGCCTTGTGGTAGATGCACCTCCGAGACTTGCCTAAACAGGGAGAAGTGTGGGCCCAAGGGCAGCCTCAGTCTTCCTTGTCCCCTACAGACTTACCAGGGCAGGGTACGGAGCATCCTCCAGGAGGTGGCAGCCAGGGAGAGCCAGCACAACAGGCAGCTGCTGCGGTGAGTCTCCCGAGCGCCTCCCAGGCTCTGACTGGGGAACGAGGAACGCACTCCAAACCCCAGCCTTTTAGGGAGTCCTGCCGAGGGCCAGGTGGGGGATGATCCCAGGTTCCTAGTAGCTAATACCATGGTCTTGGCTTTTCCACTTCACTCACGGGTTCGCCTTCATTTGTCTTAAACCCCTGCTGTGTGCGGGGCGGGACCTTGGAAAGCACCTGTCACCTGCATGCCTTAAAGGCCACTTGTTTCCTCCCTACTTCACACTGCAAGATGCAGCTTTGCAAGGCACCTCGTCGTCTCTTCCACTCCAGAGGCTGCAGCGGCTCCCTTTCCTGTCAGTTTCCAGGCAGTGCCCTTCCAGCTTGCTCTGCAGGCCTGTCACTGACTCTCCAGAGTCACCTCTGGGCCCCGTCAGACCATCTGCACCGCTCACCCCTGTGGAGGGCGCTTCTGCAGCTTCTACCACTCTTTCTAAGCCAGACTCTAACCTCACTGCTTCCCAGCAGTCCTCCCACATGCCCCTCTTTCATTTCCTGCCTTTGTATTTGTTCAGCACATGATATTCCTGGTGGCCTGTGGGCAGTGGGTCTCATGGACTTTCAACACCTCCATCCTTAGCTGGGCACAGTGGCTCATGCCTGTAATCCCAGCACTTTAGGAGGCTGTTTGAGACCAGGAGTTCCAGACCAGCCTGGGCAACACAGCGACACCTTTTTATATTCTCTACTGAATATAAAAAGATTAGCTAGGCATGGTCATGTATGCCTGTGGTTCAGCGACTTGGGAGGCTTAGGTGGGAGGGTCACTTGAGCCCTGAAGGTCAAGGCCGCAGTGAGCCGTGATCATGCCACTGCACTCCAGTCTGGGCGATGGAGTGAGACCCTGCCTCTAAAAAGTAAATAAAATAAACGCCTCCATCCCTCATACGGGGTCCCATAGAGCGCCCATCCCGCTCTTGAGACAGGGCGGAGTAAGCGAGAACTCCCCGAGCTAACTCAGCAGCAGGCTGCGGCACAGGCAGCCTTCCGGGTTCCGTCTCCCCACACTGCTCTCATCACAGTGTGAGTCACCTGTGTTGCCACTGTCTGGTTATGCCCTGTTATCCTCGTAGCACCTGGAGTTGGGTCTCCAGCAGTGCTGGGTCCCTCATGCATTCTTGGTGCCCAGCCCAGAGCAGCTGCTCAGTAGCCATTTGTTGGACATAGACGTGCACGTAAACATGGGTGTTGGTGAAACAGACATTCTTAGGTGTAGAGTCCCTGACTCAGGAGTAGGGGAAGAAGTAGGAATGATTCACAGAAGCCTCCCTTCTCTCTCCATCCTGGTGTCATCTGCCCTCCCCACACCCATGCACCTGCAGAGGGGCATTGCGTCGCTGGAAAGAGAACACCATGGCCCGAGTGGATGAAGCCAAAAAAACCTTTCAAGCAAGTGCTCATTACAGAAGGACCATATGTTCCAAGGTGAGGTATAAGGAGGCAAGCTGGTCACCCAGGAGAGCTGGGGACTGTGTTCTGGTGAGGGCGTGGGATGTAGGGGGTGGTGCCAGAGATTTGAACTGAATAAGGAACCTAGAAATGGGTAACTTTCCTGCAGCACACACACAAACACCCATGTGGGCACATGTTTAGTTTTTTACTGAATTACAAACTAATATGCATTAAAGTAGAAACATAACACATCGTAAGTGAACTAGTTCTTATCAGAACCAGTATTTTTTTTTTTTTTTTTTTGAGACAGAGTCTTACTCTGTCACCCAGGCTAGAGTGCAGTGGTGTCATCTCAGCTCACTGCAACCTCCAATCCCCCAGGTTCAAGAGATTTCTCCTGCCTCAACCTCCCGAGTAGCTGGGACTACAGGCGTGTGCCACCATGCCCGCCTAATTTTTGTATTTTTAATAGAGGTGGGGTTTCACCATGTTGGCTAGGCTGGTCTTGAACTGCTGACCTCAGGTGATCCACCTGCCTCAGCCTCCCAAAGCACTGGGATTACAGGCACTTTGAATCCAGGAGGTGCAGTGAGCCAAGATTGCACCACTGCACTCCAGCCTGGACAACAGAGCAAGATTGTCTCAAAAAAAAAAAAAGAAGAAGAAGAAAAACTCCGGAGCTAGCCTGTGCCTCCCTTCCCCCGGAAGAGGAACACAGGAGTCTTTGCTTGGCTCCAGAGCTTGAAAAGGAGGCCTTTTTGGTGGGAATGGAGTTCATGACGCTTGCGGAGCAGGCACCAGGCATCCCCTGGGCAAGTGTTTTGTGATTGTGATTTTATAGGCGTCACTCATACAGAAGAATGTATACAATGTATGTGTGTTCCATTTACTAAACAGTAATAGAGGCCGGGCGCTTGTAATTACACACCTGTAATCCCAGCACTTGAGGAGACTGAGTCGAGTGGATCACTTGGGGTCAGGAGTTTGAGACCAACCTGGCCAACATGGAGAAACCCTGTCTCTACTAAAAATACAGAAATTAGCCGCGCGTGGTGGCGCGTGCCTGTAATCCCAGCTACTCGGAAGGCTGAGGCAGGAGAATCGCTAGAACCTGGGAGGCGGAGGTTGCAGTGAACCAAGATCACGTCACTGCACTCCAGCCCAGGTGACAGAGCGAGACTATGTCTCAAAAAGAAATTATATAAATAAATAAAATAGAATGAAGACCCATGTATGTAATGACTTCACTACTTGATGGCAGGGTATGATATGAAAATCCTGGTAGAAGAGTCCCAGCAGCCGAGATGCTGGGCTTCCTGTGAGGGGCTGGGGCCCCGTCCTATTGCTTAGCGGTCTGCGTGCATGGCAGTTACTTCCTGGAGCGTGTGTGAGAAGCAAATGGCAACAGCTTGGCCTTGCCTCTCCAGGAGCCACCGTCACAGACCTGGGGTGGCCCCGGAAGCCAGGAGGCGTAGTGACTTGCTGTGCTCCTTGCCTGCCCATAGGTCCTGGTCCAGTGGCGGGAAGCTGTGTCAGTGCAGATATATTACCGACAACAGGAGGACTCTGCCATCTGGGAGGCCCGGAAGGTGCTGGACAGGGGTAAGTGGGGCCCCCAGAAGCAAGTCGTGTTGAGGAATGTGACGACAGCACTGTTGTGGAGGTCCCTGTGGCCCCCATAAGTCTGTCTCCTTCTCATACATGCCAGTTGCCAGTGGTTGCCATGACAAAGTACCACAGACTGGGAGTCTTCAAACCACACAGAATTACCCTCTCAGTTCTGGAGGCTGGCAGTTAGAGATCAAGGTGTGGCAGGGCCGTGCTCCTCCGCAGGCTCTAGTCCTTCCTTGCCTCTCCCAGCTTGTTTCTTGCTTGTCATGGCTCTCCTGGACGTGCAGACCCATTGCTCCAGTCTTTGCCCCATCTTGACATGCCTCTCCCTTCCTGTGTCTGGGTCCCTTAGAAGGACTCTGGTCATATCAGATGAAGGACCCACCCTACTTGAGTGTGACGCCATCCTTGCCAATTACATCTGCAGCCAGCCTAGTGCCAGATAAAGTCACATTGTGAGGTTCCAGGAAGGGCATGAATACAGCAGGTGTGGAGTGGGTACTGTTCAGTCCAGTATATCTTAGAAATGTATTACCAACTGATTGCCAACCAGTTTATGTTAAAATGAAAGGCTGGCGCTTGAGATCTACAGAGAAATAAAAGAAGCTGGAATGGAGGAGTTTGGGGTGGTTGGGGGGGTTGTTTTGACAGGAAAGTCCTTGCCGCTTGTCAGGTCAGCCTCCACTGTGTTAGCGTCCTGCTTCCTTGTGTAGCTGGGCCCTTGAATGTTTAGGGGCCAGAGACATTCTCATTCGATCTCAGGAAGTCCCACTGCCTGCTGTATATACATTTTTGGAAAGATTGCAGGGCACAGTGGTACACACCTGTAGTCCTAGCTACTCGGGAGCCTGTGGTGGGAGGATCACTTGAGCCCAGGAGCTGGAGGCTGCACTGAACTATGATCACACCACTGCACTCCAGCTTGGGTGACAGAATGAGACGCAGTCTCTCTCTTTTTTTGAGACAGTCTCACTCTGTCGCCCAGGCTGGAGTGCAGTGGCATGATCTTGGCTCACTGCAACCTCCACCTCTTGGGGTTCAGGCAATTCTCCTGCCTCAGCCTCCTGAGTAGCTGGGACTACAGGCGCGTGCCACCACACTGGGCTAATTTTTTGTATTCTTAGTAGAGACGGGGTTTCATCGTGTTAGCTGGGATGGTCTCGATCTCCTGACCTCGTGATCCATCCGTCTCAGACTCCCAAAGTGCTGGGATTACAGACATGAGCCACCATGCCTGGCCAAGACCCAGTCTCTTTTAAAAAATCTTTGGGAAGAATCTAGAACAGGAGTCCATGCCCCTGCTTGCAAGTTGCACAGACACACGGCAGACCCGTGGGGAGCTGTCTCCTAACACAGCCAGCGGTCCCATAGCAGGAGAATCTGACACGCTGAAGGGGACAGCTCATTTTTAGAATAAATGAAAATACAAACAAAAGTGAAAACAATTAGAAATTGTTTAAATTGGCCCATAAAGAAATTGACCAAGTTGTTGAGTTGGTTTACAAGAGTTTGCTCCAGGACAAAACTGCACCAGCTTTGGTTTGGTTCTGACTGTAGCATGTGTTAATGAGCGTGTTTCAACAAGTCCTAGCGACAAAACCCCGGGCTCAGCCATCCCACACGGCTGCATTACTGCACCACGAATGTGCTGCTGGGTGCTGGAACTCAGCTCAGAAACCAGCACCGTGTTTCTAGTTCACTAAGAAAGAAGCTGAGGGCTTAAGCCAGTCCTTGGGCTCTGGAGCTTCTGCGCCTGACCCTTTGGGCACCTGACCGTGCAGCTTCAAGCTCCGGAGGCTTCTGGCCAGTTTGGGTCGGCTGCCTTAAGGGTCAGGTGCCCACTCCTGGCCGTGGTGGGAAGTTAGAGGCTACGGGTTTGAGTTTTGCCCGAAGCCGCTGCTCTCTGAAGGACTTTCCTTAGAAGGAGGCAGTGGCAGGTTTGGATTGCCACGTCCATTACAGATGGTGTGAGACATTTGGGAGACTGGGCAGCAAGACAGTGTACACGTAGTAGGTACACAGTAAACACCTGAGGAACAATTGCCTGGCTTATATTAAGGCCTCAGTGTCTCAGGCACACCTTGGCAGGCCAAGGGTGGGGCTGGAGGAGGGACTGGGGGGAGGATGTCACAAGACCCATTATGCAGGGTGCTGCAGATGTGCAGGCTGGCGGTCATAACCTGGCTCTGTGTGTGGCCTCCAGCAGGGCCCCTCTCTGAGTCTCAGTGTCTTCATCTGTAAAATGGGGATAACAGTGCCTACCTCTTGGGGTTGTTGTGGAGATCAACCGAGATGACAGGTAGAGAGATAGACACTTAGAACAGAGCCCAGACGTCAGCATGCAGCACTAACATGGGTGCCTCCCGCTTGTGATCTGCCGCCTTCTCTGCCTGCGCCGGTGGGCCTGGAGGGCTCCTCATCTTGGCATCTGTGCCCTGCTCTCAACCCTGTTCTGTTGTCTCAAAAAGAAAGTTCTCTCAGGGCCCAAGAAAGATTCACTCAAGGGAGAATCTTGTGACACAAAAACAAAAGGCAGGATGTGGCTCGTGCCTGCAGAACCCAGGGGACCAGAAGACGTGGCCTGGCGACCAGCGCACTCCTCCCCAGCCGCAGCTCGGGCTGCTCTGACTGCTCTGACTGGGCCTTGGTTTCCACCCTGGCCAAACAGGCTGCCCTCTCCTCCAGCTGCTGCAGCTCAAGTGGGGGCTCCTCCTCCTCCCTCAGACTGAGGCTCTTCCTCCGCGCGCCCAGCAGCATTTTGCACGTGACTCTTATGGGGGCCCCTGGCACCCCTGTGGAGGCTGTGGACAGGCTTGTGGCTCTGGGAGGGCCCTTGGGGAGCATAGTGGTAAACAGATCTGGTTCCAGCCCCTGGGGGGTTCACTGTTGGCAAAGGTGGCCAGAGCTGTCCCTAGAGAGGGGCCATGGTCCACATGTGGTAGTTGCACCGTGTGGGCTGGACACCTGGACTCTATCCCCGCACAGCCATCTCTCCTCTCTGCACCTTCACCATTATGTAGTCACTGGTGGAAATCCCACAAAACAGCAAACTCTGACTTGGATCTAGGCTGTCTGCGGACCTGGTTTCAGCGCTGGCGGGACTGCAGCCGGAGGTCAGCCCAGCAGAGACTGCAGCTGGAGAGGGCAGTCCAACACCACCGCCGACAGCTGCTGCTGGAGGGGCTGGCCCGGTGGAAGATGCACCATCTGGAATGTGTCAGGAAGAGGGTGAGGCCGACGGTGGCAACTCTCCAAGTTCCACCTGCCTGGCAAGGGGTGTCCAGGCCAGGAGACCGTATCTCAGGAAGGGGTCTCTCCTGACAGCACTCCATGCAGCCGGTATGAGTGGTGGGTGGTTTGGGGTCCTGTAGGACAAGGCTGCAGGAGCCTTTCTGGGCATTTGGTGGAGCCTAGCGGGTAGCCAGCCCCAGAATCCAGTGTCTCCCAGAGAAGACGGCTCAGCCTAAAAACCCGGTTCATGCTGACCCGCGGCTTATCAGTGCTGGGGGACCTACGGAGTGAGTCCTCTAGGTGCCCCCTGCCTCCCCCCTGCCTCTCCCTGCCTATGCAGGAGACTCCTGGCACCATCCAGGACTCCTAGCAATGGGAGGACATTCAGCTGGGCAGAGACTGGGTTAGATCAGGACCCACCGCAGGCTGTCTAGGCTAGGTCAGGACCCCACTCTGTGCACTTGCTCTCCCCCAGCTCCTGCACAGGCAGAGTACCCAACTGCTGGCACAGAGACTCAACCGGACCTGCTTCCGCCAGTGGAGACAACAGGTGGGAACCCGGGAGATGTCCCCTCCATACTTCCTTCTCTGTCCTCTGGCGTGTGAGGCCTGGGCAATGAGTGACCTTTGGCTTACACCTCTAGTTCAGTATTTTTACTATTGCCCTCCCCAGGGCCACCTCCTTTACCACCTTCCTGTCATTTCCGAGCACATCAGCTTTGTTCCATCTGTAGCCTGCGTAAGACCAGTTACTTCAAGGCCTGGTTTCTCTTTCTACAGTGTTGTATTAAAAAATACATCAGTGGAGGCTGGGCGCGGTGGCTCACGCCTGTAATCCCAGCACTTTGGGAGGCCGAGGTGGGCGGATCACAAGGTCAGGAGATCGAGACCATCCTGGCTAACACGGTGAAACCCTGTTTCTACTAAAAATACAAAAAAATTAGCCAGGCATGGTGGCAGGCGCCTACTCGGGAGGCTGAGGCAGGAGAATGGCGTGAACCTGGGAGGCAGATCTTGCAGTGAGCCAAGATCACACCACTGTACTCCAGCCTGGACGACAGAGCGAGACTCTACCTCAAAAAAAAAAAAAAATACATCAGTGGGCCAAGCATGATGGCTTACACCTATAATCCCAGGATTTTGGGAGGCTGAGGCAGGAGGATTACTTGAGCCTAGGAGTTCAAGACCAGCCTGGGCAACATAGTGAGACCCCATCTCTATAAAAACAAAACAGAAAAATTAGCTGGGTGTAGTTAGTGCACACCTGTGGTCCAAGCTACTCGGGAGGCTGATGTGGGAGGATCACTTGAGCCCAGGAGGTCAAGGTTGCAGTGAGCTGTGATCATGCCACTGCACTCCAGCCTAGATAAGAGTGAGATCCCATCTCAAAAAAAATCAACATAATTTTTTAAAAATTAAAATGAAATATGTTTTAAGGCTTGCTGGGATCTTGCTAAAAAGCCAAGAGGGATCACGCAGAGCAGCACCCACACGTCCCCAGCTCCCTCTTCCCATCCTGTTGTCCTGTTCTCACCGTTCCCCAGACCCCAGGCTGGTGTCTCCACACATCCCCCTGTAGGAGCCCTTTGCCACCTTCTTTCCTAAAGGTCCTTCCTCAGGCCACAGATGGAGCGTCTATTGAGCACCTCACGGCCAGGCACAGGGCTGGCCCTTCCTAGTGGAGGAAGTGGGAGCCTCAACTAGAGAGGGAGCCCAGAGGGACGATCGGGCAGGGCCCCTTGATCAGCACGGCCTCCCTGAAGGGGCAGCAGGGAAATGATCTGGTGTTTCTGGCCCTAGCTGGCAGCCAGGAGGCAGGAGCAGCAGGCGACAGTGCGGGCCCTGTGGTTCTGGGCCTTTTCGCTGCAGGCAAAGGTAATTGTGTTTCTGCATCCTACCATCCCTGCCTCTTCCTCAGGCCTTAGCCCTGCCTTGGAGGGAGGGCACCTGGTCTGTGGGGGACCCCTAAACAGGGAGATCTGGGCCTCACCTCCCACCCTCCCTGGAGGTGTGGGCCACGTGGCTGGCCTTTGTACTGGAAAGGAGGAGGAAGAAGGCGCGGCTGCAGCGCGCGCTCCAGGCCTACCAGGGGCAGCTCCTCCAGGAGGGTGCCACACGGCTCCTGCGCTTTGCAGCCAGCATGAAGGCCTCCCGGCAGCAGCTGCAGGCCCAGCAGCAGGTCCAGGTAGGCCCAGGGCCCCTTCCTCTGGGGAGCAGGCAGGGTGTGGCATGAGCTGACCAGAGGCTGTGTCGCAGGCGGCTCACAGTCTCCATCGTGCCGTCCGCCGCTGTGCCACGCTCTGGAAACAGAAAGTGCTGGGCCGGGGCGGGAAGCCTCAGCCCCTGGCAGCCGTCGCATCCAGCAGGAAGGTGACGTTTGAGGATCCCCTTCTCAACTGCATTGCCGCTGGGGCTGGGGATGCCACCGTGGGGACCAAGAGGCCACAGGCTCCTCTGCTTCAGGGAGCTCTGGGCCGCCTGGCTGCTGAGGAGCCCCACACCCGGGAACTGTGAGTAGCCCGTCCTCACCTCATCCTCCTCGCTTCCACCCTGGGCAAAAGGTTGGATGGCGTAGCAGGGAGGAAAACTGGGCCCTGACGGGGGACAGGACAGGCTGGCCTCAGCCTTGTCATAGCTGAGCTGCTGGGAATCGCCTCTTCTCCGGCCAGACCCCATCCCTCCCCCAGCAAGAGAGAGTGGCGTGGGATTTCCAGACCCTCTCTCCTTTTCCTGCCAAAGTTCAGGAAATAGGTGTCCCTTCCTCTGCAACCCCTTCCTCCCCTCTCGCCCGTCCTGCTGACAGTCTTCCGGAGTCACACACAGAGCTGACAAGGGAACAAGCTCAGCCCTGCCCGTGCCTGCTGGCCTCTCCTGCTCCCTCACAGCCAAGACACTGGTTTTTTGTCAGAAGCCCCTCTTTCTTGTGTGGGCTGGCACCCATCCCTCTGCCCACCCTGACTATGGTCTCCTCAAACCCTAACCTGCCCTGCCCCATGCTGATGAAGCTGTGGCTCCCACAGCAGCCAGCACGACCCGAGAGCCTTGGGCCCTGGGGGAGTTGTCAGGTGGGTGCATGGGGCCTGGGTCCCGGTCGCTGCTCTGCCCCTCACTGACTGACCTTGATGGGAGCCTGAACATCTCAGAGGCTGCTCCCCTGTGACATGGACCCTGGCGACCTGTACACCTGCATTACCAGGGTTGCTCTGCGTGTCAAAAGAGACAATGTGGGTGAAGCAGTCCCCTGGCGTCAGGCACCTTTTGTCAGAACTGCTGGGAGCTCTGTGGCCCAGGCCACCCCAGCTTACTTACTGACCTGGGCCTCGCCTTCTCTGACTTTCGGTCTCCCTATAAAATTGGAGGGGTCTGACCAGCGACCCCCATCCCACAGAGATCTCAGACCCCCCTGCAGCCCCTGGTCAGCCCAGGGGAACAGACCCCATGTTTCTTCCCAGCAACACTGCCCACTCAGCGAGGAAGCAGCCGCGACGCCCACACTTCCTGCTGGAGCCTGCGCAGAGCCAGAGGTCCCTGGGGTGTGGCACCATGGGCAGACAGGGGTAGGTGGTCAGGGGGCCCCAAAGGCAGCTGGCGCCTCCATCTGGGGCCTGTGTTTTGGCAGTCCTGGGGTGGGTGGCCCCCTTTCCTTCTTGTTCCTTGGTCCCAGAGGAGGGTCCTGTGGCCTGACCAGGCTCTTGCCTTCCCTGTGCTCAGGCCTCAGAAGCCCAAGGAACATGGCCTAGGTATGGCTCAGCCAGCAGGCCCCTCCCTGACGCGGCCCTTCCTGGCAGAGGCCCCGACAGCACAAGTCCCACACAGCCCCATGCCTGGGGCCCTGTCAAGCGCCCCTGGCCCAAAGCAGATCCCGACGGCAAACACAGGCCCGGAGCTGCTGCTGCTGCCTCCTTCCTCCTTCATGCCCTGCGGGGCAGCTGCACCAGCCAGGGTACGTCCTCCACCACCAGGCCTGGGCGCTGGGGCTCTCTCTTTGGTCTGGCTTCTGGTGCTCCTTCTCATACCATAGCTGTACTCATCATTTCTGGAAAACCTTGGCACAGGGAGGCCACTCATCCATTTGACAAGCATAGGTAGCCACTACACACCAGGTCCAAGGGCCACAGCAGTGAACAGCTAGCCAAGGGCCCTGCCATCCTGAAGCGTATATTCTAGTCAGAGACAAGCAAAGAAAAGCCCCTGCCTGCAGGCCAGTGACGTGGCTGCAGATCACGTAGGGTCCTGCAGCCACGGTGAGAAGCAGCCTGGGATTTGAGAAGAGGAGGAAATCGGGAAGGGTTTTGGCAGGGAGCACCATGGCAGGTTTCTGTGCAGGCTATGGTCACCATGACCTTGTGGTCCAGACAAGCAATACTGGTGGCCTGGGCTCAGCGGTTGCCATAGAGGGGACGGATACTCTCTTGGCGGCCGACGAGGCAGGATATGCTCTGAGGGATTTGCTGAGTGAGGGGGGAAGAAGGAATCCAGGCTGATTTGGGCTGCTGGCTTGAATAACTTGGGGAACAGAGTTCTTTGACTGGAAGAAGGAACTGGGGGTGGGGACTGGTTTGGGCTGAAGCGTCAAGAGTGTTTTGAACCAGGTTCTTGATGTCAAACTTGAGAGAAAGCAAACGTTGAGTCTGACCTTGAAGGAAGAGGTCAGGGCCAGAGATTGAGAAGAATCCTCAGCACAGGCCGAAGGTAACCCCAGAGCCACTGCGGCCTCTAGGAGGAGTACAGGGGAAGGAGAGAGGGGATGAGCCTCCAAGTGGGGAGCCTGGGCGGGGATGGCCAGGGGGTGTGAGAGCTCAGTAATGGAGTGACAGCTGCTCTCAGGCCACCAAAGCAGCTGGTTCCTGAATGGGGATGAAGGGGCAGGAAGGAAGCAGTTCCTGTGGTGAGTTAGGCCTTGTGGGGCCACTTACCCTGGCTGGAATGGTGTGTGGGGTTGAAAGGGTTTTGACCCCTGTCGGGTGATGGAAGGGACAAATCCACTCTCACCAGGAGAGGAGGGCATGGAGGAGGCTGTAGAGGGCTGGACCCTCACTCACCACTTCTCACTGACGTCGAAGCTCAGCAAGGTCATGAGCTCAGAGCAAGGTGGGGGTGGAGTTGGGTAAGGCTAGGAACAGCTGCTCAGGCGGTGGAGGCGCGAGGCAGACTGTGGTGACACGGGGTGCTCCCTGGTTGCTTGTGGGACTTTCTCCTACAATACCAGGTCCTGTGTGCAGGGGCAGGCTCGACACTGGATGAGCTAGCACGGCCAGTGCCTGGGAAGCCCAGCTCCTGCAGCCGGGGGCCTGGTCTTCCCCCACCCCTGCAGGGCAGGCAGTGACAAGGACTTGGTGTCCCCCTCCCTGGCTTCCTCCTAGCTTCCCTGCTGAGCATCCACCCTTCTTTCCTTTGCAGGCGTCAGCACAGCCGGCTACTCCTAGGGATAAGCCCCAGGTCCCCCCATCCCTGGCCAGTGTCCCTGACCCCCATCTACTCCTTCCTGGGGACTTCTCAGCCACCAGGGCTGGGCCTGGGCTTTCAACTGCAGGTGTGTACCTGGGGCCTGTCAGGGCAGAAAGCACTCAGGCCACTCCCGGACCTGGGACTTGCTATTTACCCTGGTCCCAGAGGGGAAAATGGTCTAAAACAAGCTTACTTCTGTCGCCATAGGCAGCCTGGACCTTGAGGCTGAACTTGAGGGGATCCAGCAGCAACTACTGCACTACCAGACCACCAAGCAGAACCTCCGGTGAGCCCTGCGAAATGCCCTGCGGCCCTGGCTACAGGAGCAGGTGTTGCTTGGAAAAGTGGGCGGGCAGTTCCATTTCCCCTGAGCCAGCCACCAGGGTCCTGTGGGTGGTCTTGGTCTAGCTATGGAGGGGTGTGGGGAGCCCTCAGTGTGTGCTGTCCAGAAAGGCACCATCTCCACCATGACTCTTGACCTGGCTTGGTGCTGCTTAGGAAGGCCCCAGTCAGCCTCACCTATGGACAGAGGCTCTGCTTCCTATGGGGGGATGATAAAGTTGAGCAAAACTCTAAAAACCCAATGAGGCCATGCTGTCCCCAGTGACTAATTATAACACTGATATTAAAGGTGCAGAGAAGGGCTGGGTGTGGTGGTTACACCTGTTCCCAGCACTCTGAGAGGCTGAGGTGGGCGGATCACGGGGTCAGGAGTTCAAGACCAGCCTGGCCAATATGGTGAAACCCTGTCTCTACTAAAATTCAAAAATTAGCTGGGCATGGTGGTGCACGCATGTAGTCCCAGCTACTTGGGAGGCTGAGACAGAAGAATTGCTTCAACCTGGGAGGCGGAGGTTGCAGTGAGCCGAGATCACACCATTGCACTCCAGCCTGGGCGACAGAGTAACACTCCATCTCACAGAAAAAAAAAAAAGTGCAGAGGAGACAGGCCCGAGACCCGCTGCACTCAATGGTCTGGGGACCATCATCATGCAGCAGCTTCAGAGCTTCGACAGCAACAGACTCTGGCGTCTCATCCTTGCCTCTGCACAGGGGAAGAGAGACAAGAAGTGTGTTTTCGCCCAGGCCCACCTGAGTTGCTGTCTGCTAGGGAGGGCGGAGGAGACTGGGAGAGGAAAAAGAAGTGTTCGGCTCCCAAGCAGGGGCCTGCAGCTCAGGTCAGGGGCCCTACCAGACCGCCTTTCTCTCTCCACCCGATACCCGCATCAGAATTAGCTGAGGTGCCGCTCTCTGAGCTGGATGGGGCTCTGCCAAGGACCCAGCCTGGCAGGCAGCAGGTATCTCCACCCCTCAGGTCCTGTCAGCGGCAAGCGAGCAGCCTGCGCAGGTGGCTGGAGCTGAGCAGAGAGGAGCCTGGACCCGAGGACCAGGAAGTAGAGCAGCAGGTGCAGAAAGAGCTGCAAGAGGTGAGGCCCGAGGCCATCCCCAGGTGTCCGTAGGGACGTCCCGGGCTGTGCTCCCTCTCAGCCCTGGCTGTCCCTCTCTGGCCCCAGGTGGAACTGCAGATCCAGCAGCTGGCAGAGGAGCTCCAGGCTCAGCGCCAGCCCATTGGCACCTGCATTGCTCGCATCCAGGCCCTGCGGCAGGCCCTGTGCTAGCGTGTTTGCCCCAGGGATGCAGGTGCTGGGCTGTCGGGGAGGCCTAGGCCACCTCCAGGAACAGAACACAAAGTTATAAGTTTTATTTTTTTATTTCAAAATGTTTTGCCATTAAATGAATTACTGTTCAGAAGTCTCCCACTTCTCATACAAAAATACTGTGCTACTGATACAGTTGAAAAAGTTCAATGATGGCTCTCCTGCAGGAGAAATTCACAGCGTCCCCAGGGTCAACATGAACTCTGGCCCTGTCCCCGCCATTGGGGGCTCCCCAGGCACGCATTCCTGATAACTGGGACAGGTTTTCCAGGCACTGACCAACTATCCACCAAGGGCCCTCTGCCTCCCAGACAGACCCTGAATCAACAGCAGCAACTTTCCCACATTTCATGTAGGGATATGGGGAGGACAGGAACTCTCCCCTGTCCCCAGCTGGGCCTACCACCTGCCTGCCCTGTTCATTCTGGTGCCATGAGGCAGGTTCAGTGATTAGTCTTGCCTGCTGCAACGAGGACCTGACCAGCTCCAGAAGGTCACTCATCAGGTCCTACAGAGGTCTGTATCATTAATCAGTGTCCTCAGAAGACACTGGCAGAGTCCAGGGTGATGCATTCAGCCACAAGCACAAAGACTGCTTTTTCTAAAGAGCAGGATGAGGTGAATTTGGGAACAGAAAGCAGTTGTCATGAAGGCTGTGTGGCTCTGCTGGGGGAAGAGGCATCCACAGTCTGTGCCAAGGAGGCACCTCACCCTGTGCAGCAGGAGGGTTAAGGCCAAAAAACAAAAGGGGCCAACAGAAAACAGCCTAGGTGATGGGGAGGAGCAGCAAGAAAAAATGACAATCGAGACCAACTGAAGGTTCAGTCGGGAATGCAGGATCTCCCGTCTATACAGTGTTTAAAAAGATCCAAATGTGACAGATCATTCCAGCCTGCACTTTTTATTTGTAGGGAGAAGGAACAGGATAGGTTGAGGGCATGACGGGGGCTCTCACCACCTCTTGTCTGCACCTCCGGAACAGGTGGGAGCCGAGTCATTCAAGTCCTACCTGGTCAGACTCTCACCCACCCTGAGGCAGGCCCTCACCTGGATGGCCTCATGGGCCTCCCTATCTAAAAGACCCTCACTCTGTTTGGAAAAGATCCCTTAGCAGCCATAATCAGGAAAGAGGCTCTAGAGCGAGCCCAGGGCCTCCCCAAAGCGGATTTTCTGTCCTGTTTTCAGCTGGAAATTGAAGTCCTTGGGGGCCTCAAAGATGAGCACAATGGTGGAGCCCAGGTTGAACTCGCCCAGGTGCTCGCCCTTGCGCATGGGGACGCCCTCTCTATTGGTATGCGTCACGAAGCTGAAGTCGTTGTAGGAGCCCTTGCTGTGCCTTGGGCTGTTTGTGTGCAGGTCCTGTGGTGATAGGCTGGGGGTCAGCGGGGCCACCAAGTGCACAGTGTCACCCCACATGTGTTTGGAGTCCCACCCACTCCCTCTGTTGCTTGTCCCCAACACCACCCAACCCAGCTCCAAAAGGGAGGTGGGAATGGCATCTCAGGGCCAGGTGGGCCCAGTCTAGCCAGATCTCACACACAGCATTGACGCCTGCTGTGAACTAGGCCCAGGAAAGATGGAACAATCGGACCCAGTGGTTTCCATGCATGGTGCTGGGAGAGTGGCACCTGTGGGAGCCAAGGCCACTGATCACAAACTGACACCCAAAAAGGCAGCCCTTTGGGACGGGGTGGGCAGCAGGCCTGCGAGTGCTGACCCCCTCACATGCTGTAACCAACATGAGCCACGCCGAGCTCAACGCTCCCTTTCTGTTCCCTCCTCACTCTCACCTTTGATCATGGTTCCTAGCAGAAACCAGGTGCCAGGCAAGGAGGTTAATTCCCTCTATCTCTTCCAGCCAATGGTGCAAGAAGGGAGGGAAGCCTCAGCTGGCTGGCAGGTGGAGCGGCCCATTCTCAGGACAGCTGTTCAGCAGAGCCACGCCTGACCAGACATGTGGCCGCCCTAGAATTCAGTCCCAACCCATCCGCCGCACAGCAGACAAGGCAGGTAGACCCAAGAGGTCCAGCCCTTGGGCTTTGGCAGGGCCTACACTCTGCTTACCCGGTCAAAGTAGATGCGAATGGAGCCCACGTTGGTGGCCCCCACAGCCGTCAGTGAGAAGAAGCCATGTTTCCAGTCCCCCGTCAGGACTACCCGCTCGTTATGGCAGAAGAGCTCTTTGATCCAGCGAGCCATGCCAGGGTTCACTGACATCAGGGAGCCTGCAGAGGCAGGGAACGCTGCTACTCCCTGTCCAGAGCCCAGTGTGTCCACTCCAGGGCAGCCAAGACCCAAAGGGACTCATGGCCTGTTGCCCTGATGTCATTTCCAAATGCTGAGCCGAGTGGGCCCCATGGTCCCCTGCCCACAACCAGCCTGCATAAAGCAGTCAGCTCCTGGCCTCGATGGCCCTGACCTGGAGCCTGGTCCCCTGACACCAAGAAGCTGAGAGCCTCTATGTGAAGCCCACAGAGGCAGCTCCCCCCACACGCTGGCCCTGGGCTGACCTGGGAAGTGGCGCCGGTGGGACACAGTCCAGTCTGTGGGGGAGTGGAAGCAGTGGTAGTCCCCGGGGGCCAGGTAGATGACACAGTGATAGAGCTCATTCCCTTCCCGGGTGACCAGCTGGTTCTTGAAGGAGTCACACGAGGCGGCTGTGAGGTAGGAGCAGACATGGGGGCCACCAACACAGTGAGCACCCAGCACGGAGCCCGAGTGCGGTCTGCACGTGGATTCTCAGGGAGGCCCCACATGCCAGCCTCAGCTCCTTCCCCAGCATTCCCCTCCCTCCCGGTCCAGCCACACAACAGCAGGGCTGCCCGGCCCCGCCTGTGCAGTGACCCACCTGGCGGGAAGGGCAGGTCCTCTGTGTAGGTGCGTGGGCCCAGGAACGACTCCAAGGAGTAGGTGACCCCCTTTACCTGCTCCACCTCGCAGTTCTTCACCTGCCCAAAGTTGAGGATCTTTCCATCCGATGGGCTGATCTGGAAGGACAAAAGAGGCTTGCTGCCAGGGAGAGCAGGGTCTCCTCCCCCGAGAAGACAGCCCCCACTACCCCCTTGTCATCCTGCCGCTTCCAGATATGCTGGAGACCAGGGGGCTGTGCTGGGCAAGTGGAGTCCCAGCTGTGGAGGCAGGAAGAAGTCCTGTTTCCCCCAGGAGGAAAGGATCGGGCCTCACCACACTGTGCAGGCCACAGACGGGCCGGGCCTGCGGCTTCAGCTTGCGCCGGAAGAACTCGCTGAGGTTGCGATAGTGATGCAGGTCCTCCACGGCGGCCTCCTTCATGTTCACCCCGAAGGTCCAGATGTACAGGCTATAGACGGGCCTGCGCAGCCAGTGTGGCAGCTCCACCTGATTGAGGCGACCCCAGGCCCGTGACAGCAAGCGTGTCGGCACTGACTTGTACAAAGCCACCTGCAGGCCACAGGGCAAGGGGCTGAGTTGACCACACTGCCCCAGCTCCAGAGAGCCCAAGTACTGTCATGAGCCCACATCTCACTTCAGGAGAGAATCTGCACCCCACGGAGGACACCAGGGCCCAGGTGCCTCACGCTGCTTTTGTGATGTGGCTGTTTCTCACTGGGAACCAGATTGCACCTGCCAACTCCTGCCACACAGAGTGCTGGATTTACGTACAACTCCAGTGGTTTTCGCCACTTCATGCAAAAGTCTAACAGCAACTGCCCCAGTCCCAGAACGGGAGATGGCCAGCAGTCTTACTTCTTAAAGTGGAGGTCGGAAACGGATCTGACCCTAACCACAGTGTGTGACCCTAGCCATGGTGACCCCAGTATCACAGTATGTGGAGAGGTGGTTGGCATCTTGCCCTTGGTCACTGCCCATATCCCAGACCACCAGAGAAAGGAGGAGGCTCCCAAGTACGTGGAACAAGTCTACAGCCCAAAATGTGTCCCTCTGTCTTAACAGGAAGTGAGGAGGACACCCTGAGCACCAACATCAGGGATTTTCAGATGTAGGTCTGCGATGTCGCTGTCACCTGGGCCTGAGCTGCAGACACAGGGTCCGCAGCCCCCACAGGTTCAGCCAGCACTCTGAGGGCCTGGACGCAGCAGTCTGTGAGAAGCCCTGAGCCCCACCTCGGCCCCACAGCAGGACTTGTGTTCAACATTCTACTGTGACTGAGTCAGGCCATAAAGCTGTCTGCACCTGGGGTTCCTCCCAGGAGGCAAAGGGAGATCGTCCCCTCAGGCCCCTCTGTTCTCTCTTCCTTCAGGGAAGCCTGGAGCACCTGAAGACAGACGATGGCCTGAGGACAGGCACTGGGTCCCACTGGTTGGTCCCAGAGCCCTCCAGCAGGGCCAGGTACCCAGGAAGTGGCAGCCTGTTAGTGCTGCTGCCACTGTAGAAACTGCCTCTAATTGGTGGCTGCTGCTTCTCTAAACACAACCAAGACACCAACGCCCCAAGGTGTAAAAGTGGTTTCATTCCAACTTTCAATACCTCTGCAAGGTAAGGAATTAGCAGCTCCCAGAGAGCTGCTCTTATCCCTCCCAGCTGTTTCCCAGTCACACAGAAGGGCTGTGTGAGCCCAGGCCCTTCCCAGGCACAGGTGGGAGCCTGGGCTAATGTCCAGGGTACCTCAGTGCCCCTGAGCTCTGATGACACCAACCTGACAAAGGCCCAGGAACAGGGTTTCCTCCTTGGGGTCAACCTGCCTGGGAAGCCAAGGGCAAGAGTGAGCCCTCTAGGGGCCGGGAGGGGCCAAGTCAGTTCCCTTGACCATTCCTGGAGCAGGCCTCTGGGCTCCTTAAAGGTGTCCTCACCCTAAGGAACCCAAACAGGATCCATCCTTCCTGAACCACCCCTTTGGCATCCCAGAATTAATTTGGCTTCTGCTCAGAATCACCTCTAAGCTGTTTTCTGCCTGAACACAGAAAAGTCAGAGACAGACACCATTTTCTGAATCCCCAGGCTGGGTTCCTTCCAGAACCGGAGCCCCAAACGGCAGAAACGAGGCAGGCTAGGGGAGCGGGCAGGGCACGGCATGCCCTCGCAGTCACTTCCGCGGCCCAGGTAGTGGCCTTTTCAAAAGCTGCCCTGGCCTTGCCCACCAATGAACCTTCCAACCCTGACCCACTGAAGATGACCCTCTGCTTCTGACAGCTCGCTGCCACCTCAGTCTCTCCTCATCCCAACCTCGGGCCTCCCCGGAGGGCAGGTCCGGGCCACAGGGCCCTGTGCACACTTACCCTGCTTACGGGCCTCCATCCCACCCGGCTGAGCGGTCTGAGGGCGCCGAAGGGCAGGAGGTAGTAGAGGACGGTCAAGGGCCAGGAGCGCAGTTTCAGGGCGGGTCTGGACATGCAGCTCAGCTGCCCCAGCCTCCGCCTCAGGGCCAGCTGGGGGAAGTGCAACCTGCAGGGCACAGGTCCATGCACAGCCAGGTCAGTGGCCAGGCTCTAGGCAGGACCCAGGAGACTGCTACCTGCACCCAGGGCAGGATTCCTCCTGTCTACCCACCCTTGTTGGCAAGCTACCTTGGCATGGGGTGATGGAGCCCAGCAAACACTGGCTGTGCCCCCTTGTCCCAACCCCATTCTGAGTGGGGTTTGGCTGCCTCTGGCTAGCAGACTCATTTCCCAGGCTCTGCCACCCGCCAGCCAGCTGGGGAGGACTGGGAATGTGGGGGCAGCCGCAAGAGGAGAGTCAGGCCCAGCTGCGGGGCACCTCTCAGCCGCAGCAGCTCCCAGCAAGGGCCTCCAGACCCAAGTACCTGGGCCCAGGGAGGGGAGAGCAGGGTGCAGGGCCTGCCTCACATTCCTCAGCCTCCATGGCCCAGGAGAGTGAGCCCCAGGGGCCAGCTCTGCCACACAGGCACTGGCATGGCAGCGCATAGCACTGAGGAGCTACGACCCAGCCAGCTGGGTAACCATTTGCTCAGTCTTCTGCTACCATCCTTTGCAGGATCTGGGATATTCTTTTCATGGTTCCAGGCCCCCTCTTTCCTCATCTGCTAAATTATGGGGCCAAGGCCAGACAAACTCTCAAAGGGAGCATTTACACCCCACCTACCAGCACCACACAGCTACGGTGCCATCCATCTGCATGGTCTTTCTGTAGCAGGCCAGGTTCTGAAAACCCATCCACAGGTTTGTGAACAAAACCTCCCCACCACAAGCTCTCAAGCACCTGCCTGTTCTGCTGGGGCTGCCCGCGCGCGTGCACACACCCCCCCCAAACCCCTCCTTTCAGCAAAGGTGGATACACACACACACACACACACACACACACGCCCCCCCTTTTTTGCAAATGTGATCCCGCCTCTCCCCACCCTCCCAGCACAAATGCAGGGCACTAAGCAGGGGCTCAGCTTCACCAGAGCCAGAGCAGAGGCTGGACGAGCCTTTCCACCACAACCCTGGCCTTCTGAGCAGAAACAAGGCCCACTCCACCCTGTCCGTGCCTAGGCCTAGCAAATGCTCCTGAGACCCAGGGTAGCCAGCAGGAGACCACACTGCCATCCACTCAGAACGTCCCCAGGCCTCAGTTTCCTCATCTGCAAAGTAACTGATTTGGCTAATCTACGGCTGCCATCTGGGACTGTGCTCTCAAGAGAAGCTGAGTCCTCTCTCCCAGTCGCCGAGCAAACCAAGGAACAAAGCGGCATCTCAGCTGATAGAAGCAGCAGAGCAGGAAAGGCAAACCAGCAGCGAACCCCGCTCAGGCTCAAGCTCAGAGGCGGCTGCATCTCCGCAGCTCCTGGGTGCCTGCTTTCTCTCCCATCCCACCCCGGTGTATTTTTAAAAGGTCCAGGAAGGTGGCAGGGGCCAAGCAAAGACAAATCACTGCTCCCCTCTGGCTTTGCCACCTGCCCCACTCACTGCAGAAGAGCAGGGACCAATCGGGAAGAGCTGCACCCCTCCCGCAGGCAGGAAGGGGGATGGGGAAGCCTCTCTCCCAAGTGGGGTGCAGAGGCAAGGGTCTGGGCTGGGAGGAGGGGGCCTGGGAGCACCAGGGTAGGGAATATCACAGGCCTGAGGTCTGAGGCCCGCTGGCAGCCTCCCCCTGCTGGGCCCTCCTCGTGGTTGGAACCAAAGATACCTGAAGCGGGCTCTCCGACTCAGGGCGCTCAGGCCCCCCAGGCCGGGCCCCTCCAGCCTCGGGGGCTGACCACCAGTCCCCTTGCCGCCACCTCTACTGCGAGGCCGCTGGATGTGAACTCTGACCTTCCGGAGGTCGTGGCGGGGAACCGTGGGGTTAGGGCGCGGTGGGCAGCATCTCACCATTTCGCCGCGCGGAGCTCTGGTCCTCGCCGCGCCTCTGACTGACACATCATGGGCCGGCACAGGAAGGCGGGGCGAGGCTCACTCGATCACTCCCTTTGTTTTCCTCTTTCCTCCCCTTCCCCCGAGCCAGCGGATCTCCTGTGCTGTCACTGCTCCAGGGCCTCTGCGAGGCCGGTTGGTGGCGCCGCTTCCTGGGCTTGGTTCAGTCTTGGTGGCTCACAGGGTGCAGATTAGAGGGTCAGGGCTATTGCAGACAGACAGGCACTAGTCACACACCTGCTCAGGTCACCTGCTCAGGGCTTGCAGCCCAGTGCAAAAGCCCCTGCACTGAAGCCCACTGTCCCCAGTCCTGGCCACCTGCCCTGTCCCTGTTACCCGGGGCTGAGCCAGCCTGCACTACTCATCCTCTTCCTCAGCTGGCCTGGGGAGGCAGCAGGGGGCAAGGCCCTCAGGCTGCTGGGTCCAGTAAGCCATGACAGGGAGGGGACCAGCCACTGCTGCCAGGGTTTTCAGGCACCACTCAGCTCCAAACACACAAGGTGGGAACTTGAGCCCCATGCTCCAGGCCCAGGCCCAGCACCGCGTCAGCCGGTCTGCGGTGTGGCCCCTCCCTTGCCAGGACCTGACCCATTTTCAATTCAGGTTACAAAGTAGCATCTGAGGAATGAGATGAGCGGGAAGCCACGAGAGGCCCTGGTGAGAACCTGGCATCTTACCTGCTGTGGCTCTCTCCTCACCCCTCCTGGCCTTGACCCCCGCCCCGCAACACACACACAAAATACCCAGCTCCCTGCTCCAGACCTTTCTCAGAAGCTGTGCATGTGGGGAAACCCAGCCTGGGGCTGGGAACAAGCCAGGACTGCAGCCCAAACCAGTTCCACTCCCCTTTTTCCATCTTTGCTTCAGAAAAGCATTTTGGCCAAGGGGGAGGACAGGCCCGGCCCCTACAAAGCCACTCCACGTTGGCCTGCACAGATAGCGGAAGGACGAGCAAACATGCCAAAGCTGCTATCTCAGCCCAGGCAATCAAGGCCCTCCAGGATATGGGCTGACAGGGGGCCCACCCGTCCCGTCCTTCACCCCCAACCACTGCCCAGGAAGGGGGCAGGCACCTGTCACCATCCTTAGATGATGAAATGTGGCCCCAAGAGCTGCCGCCTAAAGCAAAGAATAGGCCAGACATGGCCAGCCTGCTGTGAGGCCGAACTCAGACATCACTGTGGTCGCGCGCGGTCGAACATCTGACGCCCTGGCAAACCCTCCTCAGCCACAGAGGAGAAGATTCCACCCGGGCACCTGCCTGCTAGAGTCACTGAAGCCCCGGGTATGGGATTCAGTGGCCTCTTGGAGCCAGGACAATAAGGTGACTAAGGTCTGGACACAAGCATGGATTTCTCCACTGATCCAGGCAGTGGCTGGGGCTGGCCCAGGCCCCTCTCCTAAATGAGCGATGGGGACAGCTCACTGCAGGTGGGTCAGGCAGGAGGGCACCTACCCACCAGCAAACAGATACACACCAGCATCCTCCCTCGAGAAGATGCCGGCACCACGAAATTGGCACAGGCACAAGAGGCCCATCCCATCGCAAGGCCCAGACCCAAAGACACCCCGGCTTCAGCCCCAGGGTCCAGGCCTCCAGGGCTGTGTCACTCCAATCACTCCGCCAACATACTGAGCACACACCCCACCCTCCCTGGCCTAGCAGGCTCCATGCTGGCCTCCTGCCAGCTACCAGGGAAACAGAGGGGTAACAGCAGTCAGGGGTGAGCCTGGTGCCTGGTTCCAAAGGGGAAGCTCTTTCCCTGGTGGATAGAGTGCAGGCTTGGAGCTGAGCTCACAGCCAGGATTCACAGGGAGACAAGCATGGCCTTGAGGGGAGGCAGAGAGGAGGGGCCTTGGGGAACCCCAGCCTCCTGCCAGTTTTCCTCCCTGATCTACCATGTGGGACAGTGACCACCACAGCCCTGAATGTATCAGAAAGATGAACCCAGGCCGGGCGCGGTGGCTCACGCCTGTAATCCCAGCACTTTGGGAGGCCGAGGCGGGCGGATCACAAGGTCAGGAGATCGAGACCATGGTGAAACCCCGTCTCTACTAAAAATACAAAAAACGAGCCGGGCGCGGTGGCGGGCGCATGTAGTTCCAGCTACTCGGGAGGCTGAGGCAGGAGAATGGCGTGAACCCAGGAGGCGGAGCTTGCAGTGAGCCAGGATCGCGCCACTGCACTCCAGCTTGGGCGACAGAGCGAGACTCCATCTCAAAAAAAAAAAAAAAAAAAGAAAGATGAACCCAGATGAACCTAGTTTGGCCAAAAACCTTGGGTTCTCAAAGCAGGTTCCCCTGTGAGCCTTGGCATTTCATTCTTCCATGGTGCTGTGAGCGGCTGGGTCTGGCCTCCAGTCTCAGAGGGGACCCTACTAAGGAATCGAGGCACATGAGGCCAGGGGCCAAGTCAGATGCCCACCAGGGAAAGGTGGGCCCTGGAGAGACTAAGAACCATCCTGAGAGGCCAGGCTGCAGCACTGCACCTGCTGGTGAGCCCAGTGAGGGCATGGGGTCCTTGCTCATTCAGATCCTTGACATCACTGTTCTGCCTCTTCTAAAACAGGCACCGAGACCAGGGTGTCAGTGCCTCCAAATTACCACCTGTGGGCCCCAAAAGATCGCCAGGAAGGAAAATGAATCCAGCTTTGCCCCAGGACACAGGCTGAGCACTGCCAGTCCCTCTCAGAGCTGCAGGATAGAGGGAAGGGGTGCTTAGAGGTCGCTGCCTTCTTGCTTCCCAAGGGTAAAGCCAATTCCTTGGCCAGCAGTGTTTCTGGCCTCCCTATTTCAGAGCCCAGCTTGCCCTCTGCCTATGACAGCCCTGGAACCCCAAGCCAAAGATTTCATCCTTTCTGGCTGTCATGACATGACATGAGGTGGGAGCCTCAGGCCCTGGATGAGGAACTTGCAAGAAGGGTACCCAGAATGGAGGAAGCGCTGACACCTTCCCTCCCTTCTAAGCCTCAAAGACATTCTGTGGAGATGAGTTTAGGGTTGTGACCAATAGGACTTTAATGTCATTACATGGCCTAAGGGCCAGTCACCTGCAACATGAGAAATCAGAGGGCCTTGTGGCTGGTGACAACCTGGTCACTGCAATTCTGGCTGCCTTCCTCTACCCCTGCCCTGAGAGCAGGGAAAGGCCTTGGCAAGTCACAGGTACTCTTTAAGTCTTGGTTTGTACATCTGGAAAATGGGAAAGGAAATTCCTGCTACCCACTCCCTTGAGGCTCAGAGCACAGCTGCAACCATGGCCCAGAATAACTGCTCAGAAACCCCACTTCCATCCAGGAGTGTGACGCAGCCTCAGATCTGGCTTCCAACACCTCACCTCTCCAAAAACTCAACACCTCACACCGGTGGAGGCAGGGGTTTTCACCACAGGAAAGATGAAATAAGAGGGGCTTAGGTGGCAGTTCTAACACAGGAACCCAAACTTGCAGGCAGTGACTGGCCCTATGAGTAGGAAGCAATGGCTAGCAGGACCCTATGGGGGGTGGGGAGCACCTTTGTCAGGACATGTGTTCTGGGGATCCATACCAGAGCAGTAGGACAATGTCCCCACCCATCCCTCACCAACCAGGGTAAAGACCACAATACCTGCCCCCCCACCAGTGGAATGGAACATTCCAACTGAAGTCGATGAACGCACCCAGGCCAGGCAGCAGTTACTACAGGTTGGGTTGGGGCCTACAAGCATGTTGTGCATGCAGGGGAGGTGCGTGTAGGTACAAGTATGTGTGCATGTATGATACATGTGTAGGTGCAAGGGTATGTGCATGGAGGGGTGCGTGTATAGGTGTGAAGGTGCGAGGGTGTGTGTGTGGGGGTGTGTGGGGTGTGTAGGTGTGGGGGTGTGTGTAGGGTGTGTTAGGTGTGAGGGTATGTTATGCGTATAGGTGTGTGCGTGAGGTTACGTGCATGGAGGGGGTGTGCACGGGTGCAAGGTGTGTGCATGTAGGAGCCATATGTGTAGGTATGAGGGTGTGTGCATATAGGGGTGTGTGTGTGTGTAGGCGCGAGGATGGGTGTGTGCCTGTAGGGGTGTGTGTGAGGGTGTGTGTGCGTGTACGCGGTGTGTGTAGGTGAGGGGGTGTGTGCCGGTAGGGGTTGTGTGAGTGAGGATATGTGTGTGTAGGTCCGGGGATGTGTGTAGGGGTATGTGTGTATACACTTACAGTGCTGCTCCTGTTGGATTCTGGTTCAAGCCTTAGCAAGGCGGAGCAGGCAGTGAGGGATATGGCACTGTCGCCTGCAGCCCCCAGTCAGCTCTGCCGGAGGATATGGAGCCTTGCAGCTTGTGTGTTCAGCCAGGAACTCTGAGAACTGGCTCCTGCTATCTGATGGGAAGCGCCTGGAGCACCAGGACCACGCCTCTTGAAGCCTCAGCAGAAACCTCCAGGGCCCCAAATCCTCTGTCCAGTGGCCTGACTGCAGGCCGTACACTCCCCCCGGGAGGCGGGGAGCGAGGAGGGGGGGCTGACTTTCTCCCCAGCTCTGCTGAGGCCGGGCCACCAGGCAGCGGCATGCGTCCAGTGGGGCGACAACCCTGCCTTCCCTGTGTTCCTGAGCTAGAAGTAGGCAAACTTTCCAACTAGGGGACGGGGAAAATGGTACTCCCTGGGCGACATGGACCAGGGAGCAAAGAGAAGGGCCCAGAGGCGCCTTTCAGCCAGTCAGTGGCAGGCAGCCCAGGAGGCTCTGGGAAGAGGGCAGGCAGGACTCGCAGGGGTCTGTCCTAGCCGCCCAAAAACAGGGACCCTCCTCTCAGACAACCCTGGGCGCTGAGGGGAACCGGCTCTGGGCAGAGGCAGCAAGCCTGCCACCCGCTCCCTGGTCCTCTGGCGCTGCCCTCTTCCCCAGACACCCTGCCCCCAGTCCCTCAGGCAGCGCGGAGGAGGAGACGGGAGCTCTCAGAGCCAGAGGCGCCCCAGCCCGGGCCCCGCCAATGCCAGCCGGCACCCCCTCACTTCCCACAGCCGCCTCACTGCCGGCGCCCTCCCTCACCCATACCCCCTCACTTTCCGCAGCCGCCTCACTTCCCGTACGCCCTTCACTTCCCGTACCCGCGCTCGGCAGGAGATGGACGTGGAGGAAGTGAGCTCACGCAGCCCGGGCCCGGGCTGTGCCCACGTGGGAACGGAAAAAAGCCCACGACTCGCTCGACCCTGTCCGCAGGGCTCCTCAGGCCGGGCTGCGTCGTCGCAGCTGGGAGAGGCCCACCTGCGAGCGAAGGCGCTAGAAGGGCATCCCCACCTGGCACTGGCTCTCTGAGCGGGCGGGGCAGGGCGCCTCCCTAAGAAGTCACCTGTGGCTCCCGGCCGGACCGGGGCGCCGGCTCCGCTCACTCACCCGCAGGTGGCTCCAGCTTCCGGGCTCCGACTCCCCAGAGGCGCTCCCGGAGCCGCGAAGCCTTGGGGCGAGTGGGCGGGGCTCGGGCTCCAGCCACTCAGACTACCAGGGGCGGGGGCAGGAGACCGACCCCAGCCACCCTTAAAGCCGCCGCTGCCTCTGAGCCCCAGTCCTGCTGGTCCGCCAGCCCAACCCGAGAGCCTCTTTAAGAGGAGGGGCCAAGACCAGGGAGAAGAGGAAGGGCAGCAGGCACCAGCTCTGCCTGGTCATTGTCACGGGAGGACCCCACTCAACTAGCAAGGTGGGCCCGGCTGCTCCCAAGGGATGCCTCCTGTCTGTCCTCAGTCTGTTCGCTGGTCTGTGAGCCGCCTGTCTGCAGCCTGTGGCTGGCCTCCCAAAGCAGCTGCCTCCCCTCACCACCCCCACCCAACACTAGGCAGACTCAGAATCCCACCCGCTGCTGACCTCATTGAGGACCGGCTTCTTCACTGGACTGAACAGAAAGCACCCCTGCTAGCCCTGGAAGCTCCAGAGAAGGCGAAATCCCTGATCCTTCCCACACCCCATCTTGACGCTACAAGGCTTCACTCTGACCTTCTGCCCTCCAGGCACTGCACATCCCTGACATAGAGAATGCCCTGACTCCAAAACTCATGTAGACCAGTGAACAGGGGCAGCCATAAACAAAGTCCGACCGCCCCAGCCTAGAGCACACAGGCCTCCCTGCTTCACTACTAGGATCCACAGCCCATGGGATGATGCATGCTGTCTTCCCACCCCACTAGATCGGAAGACCCTAGGTCTGCGGGTTGGCAGTCCACCCCATACCCACATGGTGCCAGACACCCAACAAGCACTCAGCCCACATGGGATCGGACCAATCAGCTTAATTCTTTTAGGGGAGGAGAAAGGTCTGAGAGGGATCACCATTCAATCAAAGAAAGAGTGTGGCATTAAGTAGCCTCATTCACATCTGTGGGAGCAACTGAGCACACCCATCCCCCTATTCAACGGTGAGATGGCCTTGGAAGTCTCAGTCTCATTCTGAGCCACTGAACAGGATACAATTCCAGCTGCTTCTTACCACTGACATCTTTGTTTCTGAAACAACTAAGGTTTGGGGCCAGGCATGGTGGCTCATGACTGTAATCCTAGCACTTTGGGAGGCCAAGGGTGGGAAGCTCACTTAAGCTCAGGAGTTTGAGACCAGCCTGGACAACATAGTGAGACCTCTTTCTTTTTTTAAACCAAAAAGAAAGAAAGAATTAAGGTTTGGAACAGGAGAATAAGGTCTGTACGGCTTGTGGAGAAATGGGGCGGTGGGCCACGCCTGGAACAGGACATAAGGGCGTGCAGTCACAGCCCCATACACCTGTCGTCCTTACCTGGATCCAGCCCAAGCAAGTGCTACATGACAAGCCACAGCCGTGGGATGCAGCAGGGGGAAGAAGACAGATAGGGTCCTCCTCCATGGATTTCCATGTTCTTCCACACCTACAATGCACCCATGGGAACAGGGAGGCGGGGGTGAGTAAGGCACAGTACATTCCTAAGGGCCTCAGAATGTGGTACAGGGTGCAGATACCTTACACACAGCCGCTCCTAATATTCTCCTGTCCAGACATCACTACGGGAGGTCCTCAAATAGTGTCATCATAACACTGATGAGAAAAAAAGAAAAAATCTATTCCAGCCAGGGCTACTGTCTGTGAGGAGTGTGCATGTTCTCCCCATGTCTGCATGGGTGTTCTCTGAGTACCCTAGATTCCTCCACATCCCAAAGCTGTGCACTTAGGCTCACTGGTGTGTCTAAATGGTCCCAGTCTGAGTGAGTGTGGGTGTGGGTGCACCCTGCCATGGGAAGGTGTCCCGTCCAGGACTGGTTTCCACCCTATGCCCTGAGCTTCCCGGATAGGGGACCACCTGCAACCCTGAACTGGAGTAATTAGGTAAATAATTATCTAACTTTTTATTAATTGTTCATAAATGCATGTATAGCTCACATTTCAATGGTTAATATTAGAAATGTTTGGGGTCTTTAAAAGTTCAGTGATTTTTTGTGGTCAGAAACATTCACAGGAACTTAACTCTTGCTTCTATCAATTAGCCTATAGTAAAACTGGTTTCATTCTATGTTTTGCTTAAAGGTGAAGATCCCAAGAACCTATCAAGATTGAGAACTTACTGTAACTGATCCCAGCATTCTCAGAGCCCCAAAGAAACTTCAGACCCCTTCTTACCTCAGAACTCCAAGGAAACACATGACATGGGATAAAATGCAGTTAAAGCACAGAAAGATGCTGACGCAGAATCCTGGCACCACCAACTTCCAGAACTGGAAAGACCCTGAAGACCATCCTGGCCTCCTCAAAGCCTCTAGTACTTACAGACCAGCCCACACGGGTCCCTGGGGACGGAACAAAACCAGGCCCCAGTTAGACCAGGGGAGAAAGGTCTGCAGAGGAAAGCCCAGCTTCTGCACACATTCTACCTCCCATGTGCTGAGAGATCTCTAGGACTCTCACACCCTTCCCTGTGGAATGGCCAGCTCGGCTGCACTGCATCCATCCGCATTGCTTTTTTACCATTCTAAGCCTCTAAGGCAGATGGGTGTTTAAAAACCCACAAACCGCCGGGGGCGGTGGCTCACGCCTGTAATCACAGCACTTTGGCAGGCCGAGGCGGGCGGATCACGAGGTCAGGAGATCGAGACCATCCTGGCTAACACGGTGAAACCCCGTCTCTACTAAAAATACAAAAAATTAGCCAGGCATGGTGGCGGGCGCCTGTAGTACCAGCTACTCAGGAGGCTGAGGCAGGAGAATGGCGTGAACCCAGAAGATGGAGGCTGCAGTGAGCTGAGATCGTGCCACTGCACTCCAGCCTGGGCGACAGAGCGAGACTCCGTCTCAAAAAACAAACAAAACAACCCCATAAACCAGCCCACAAGTCCGCCGAGATTAGCACTCCCCCACCTTCCAACCAGACCTCCACCACATGTATTTTCAGTGGGGAAATGCCTCTGGATTTTGAACAATCATGTACAAGTGCATTTCCATTAGGGAAAAAAAAAAATTGCCTGGAAATTTACTTTCCTGCCTTGTATTATATTTCTTTCAGGCCATGGAGTCCTTTATTTCCACCCCTCCCACTCTGTTAGGACTCCCTTGGGTGGGAGTGCCACCTAGTGCCACTGTGAGGCTCTACAGGCTCTCAGGCCACCTGCAGATGGAGGCCTCCCTGCCTCAGTCAACCCACCTGTATTCTCTGCCAGGTCCCAGCTGTGTGAATTTCATGCACTACTTCTAGAGGGATGCCCTGTGCCAGGGAACAGAAGGTAGCTGCGGAACAGGGGTGGCAGGTGTCCTCAGCTAATTCTTATTTCCTGGCTCTTGGCCAATTCTCATTCCCTAGGGGCTGGCAGAGGCCCCTCAAGGAAGATGGCTGGTGTCTTAATGGCTAGTACAAGAAACCACAGGCAGGCATCAGCCTCCTAGACATCTGGGCAGAGAGGCCGGGCAAGCACAAAGTGCCTTCAGGCTATTTCTCTACACACCAGATTCTCCCAGCCCTGCCCAACTCCCCACTCACCTTTAAGATGAGAATCGTTTTTGGCAGTCCCACTAGCCTGTGAGATGTCCCGGATACCCCTGACCCATTCAGAGCCCCACCAGCAGCTCTCTAAGGGTCCTGCCCAGGCACTGAGGAAGGGCAGACTGAGGTGGAATAAAGGAAAAGTGCTTTAGGCCAGATGTGGTGACTTAATGTCTGTAATCCTAGCACTTTGGGAGGCCCAGTAGTTTTGTAAAAATACAAAAATATAAAAATTAGCCAGGTGTAGTGGTATGTGCCTGTAATCCCAGCTACTCGGGAGGCTGAGGTGGGAGATCACTTGAACCCAGGAGGCAGAGGTTGCAGTGAGCTGAGATCGCACCACTGCATTCCAGCCTGGGTGACAGAGCAAGACTCCATCTCAAAAAACAAAAAAAGAAAAAGAAAAAGTGCTTTCAGGCCGGGCATGGTGGCTCACACCTGTAATCCCAGCACTTTGGGAAGCTGAGGTGGGCGAATCACCTGAGGTGAGGAGTTCAAGACTGGCCTGGTCAACATGGTGAAACCATTTCTACTAAATATACAAAATTAGCTGGGTGTGGTGGCATGCACCTATAATCCCAGCTACTCGGGAGGCTGAGGCAAGAGAATCGCTTGAACCTGGGAGGTGGAGGTTGCAGTGAGCTGAGATCGCGCCACTGCACTCCAGCCTGGGCAACAAGAGCGAAACTCTGCCTAAAAAAACAAACAAAAACAACCCAGTGCTTTTAGGTAGAGTCGTCTGGCAGACAGCTTCACGCAGGGCCACAGGTGTCTTGAGTTGGCAATCCCTGGATTCCTTCCAACCCAGAAGTTTAGCCTTGTGTTTAAGTTCCATTTTTTTTTGAGACAGAATCTCACTCTAACCCCAAGGCTGGAGTGCAGTGGCATGATCTTGGCTCACCACAACCTCTGCCTCCCGGGTTCCAGCGATCCTCCTGCCTCAGCCTCCCAGGTAGCTGGGACTACAGGCGCCTGCCACCACACCGAGCTAATTTTTGTATTTTTAGTAGAGACGGGGTTTCACCATGTTGGCGAAGCTCATCTCAAACTCCTGACCTCAGGTGATCCACCCACCTTGGCCTCCCAAAGTGCTGGGATTACGGGCATGAGCCACCATGTCCTACTGAGTTCCACATCTTCTTGAGACATGGTCCCTCCACTATTTCACACATTGACCGCTCAAAGCCATGGGGACATGGCTGTGTGAGCCACACTTCCACCCTCTGCGATATCCTCCTGCCCTAGAATGAGCCTATAATTCTCTGAGGTCAGAGCTGGCCCCTGCCAGCCAGTTCCAGTGGCATAAGAACACTACGGGAGTTCAGGCAGCACCGGAGCAGGCGGGAGGCTCTGCTTCCCTGCCAATTTGACTATTTGCCCATTTCCACACTCACACCTATTAGGCAAGAAGTAAAATAGTACTTACTAAAGCTCCACTCCCTGCCAGCATGGGGCCAGGTATTTACCTACACATCATTCTCATTTAACAACTTTATGAGGGCGTGAATGGCCCTATTTATAGATGAGACTAATAAAGCTACAGCACGTATGTGGCTTACCAACATGGAGAACATGTCCGATACTGCTCACCGCCAGGTACACCATGGCGCTGGGATGCGTGCTGAGCACAGGCCCATGGGGCTCCAGGCAGGGGACAGGGAGAGAAGGAGGACACAGGCCACTTCACAGGGTCCTGCCTTATGCTTAGGCCGAATGGTGACAGATCAGACAGGCTGATCTGTCTTTATTCCTTTTGATGAATTGGAATACTGTACTATACTTTTTTTTTTTTAATTCTAAATAGAGGCTAGAAACAAGGAAGCAGCACTCAGGCAGGAGTGGGCATCCCTGCAAGCCCAGCTGCTCCTGAGTAAGGCCTTTCCTGCACTGCTGTTCCCCAAACACCTCAGCCCTTGCCACAAGCCCCTAGGGCCATGCCTCAAAACAACAAAACCACCTTACGGATTCAAGCAATTCTCCTGCCTCAATCTCCAAAGTAGCTGGGATTACAGGCGCCCGCCACCACGCCCAGCTAATTTTTGTATTTTTAGTAGAGATGGGGGTTTCACCATGTTGGCCAGGCTGGTCTTGAACTCCTGACTCGTGATCTGCCCACCTCAGCCTCCCAAAGTGGCTGGGATACAGGCGTGAGCCACCACGCCCAAACTTTTCCTTTTTAAAAAAGATTACATATTAGTCGGGTGCAGTAGCTCATGCCTATAATTTCAACACGTTTGGGAGGGCAGAGGCAGGGCATATCACTTGAGCCCAGGAGGGTTTTGACCTGCCTGGGCAACATGGCAAACTTTAAAAAAAAAAAGAGAAAAAAGAATTAGGCGTATATTCTCTATTGTTATGTATATATGTTTTTAGCTTTTTTGTATGTTGTATATATAACAATTAGCGGGCATTGGTGGTGCTATGCCAGTAATCCGAGCTACCTCAAGCGGAGGGCTGGACGGTGGGGAGGGTTCAAGGCGTGCAGTGAGCCATGATCACACACTGTGCACTGCCGACCCTGCGGAAACCAGAGCAAAGACCGCTGTCTCAACAAAGAGAAAAGTTAAAAAAAAAAAAAAAAGAGAGATTACATATTTACCATTAAAAATCTCTCATTAGCCCTAAACTAAAAAAAAAAATCTAACCCTGGTCTCACACCACTCTGAACCGGACCCTCCTCTGTACTTCCTCCTGCACCAGCTCGAGGGAGCCACAGGGCTGTTCTGTTCAGACCTGAGGGCCCCATTCAGGCACTCTCACTGGACGTGCATGTCACTTGATTCCAGTGACTGAGGACCTGAGAACTCCTTCGTCCTCCATTTTCCAGAGCAGAGAAGAAACAGTGAAAGCTACAGAAAAGAAAAAAAAAAATTGTGAAAGCACAATTCTCTTCCCATGCTGACTTGGTCTGGGGAAGAAAAAAAAAAAAAGATCCATTCTTCTGAAGCAAGTATCCCGCTCCCCTCACCCGGCACTAAAAAAAAAAAATCAGTGAAGAGGAAAGCTCTTCACTTCCTAACGTCATGTCCTACGCAAAAAAAAAAATGACTGAAATTTCTCACTCAGAATATTTGTAACCTAAACATTTAGACCGAGTGGCAAGGAAGGAGGATCCATGTGCTTCCAGAAATAAGGCTTGGCCCCAGACAGAGCCAGAGGCCGCCCTGCCTTTGGCACAGGAGCTGCAGGCTGAGCAAGTGCCTCCCCTAAAAAAAAAAACTCTGTCCTCCAAACGGTTGGGACAGGAGAGCCTGGCCCTGCTCTGTAAAAAAAAAAACAGATGTATTTTGGCTGTGCCTGCCCTTGGCTGTGGGGCTGCTGCCAAAAAAAAAAAACCCCAGGAAGAAACCAGCCCTCCCCCAAGACCTAGATCTATAGGGCAAAAAAAAAAAAAAGGAACTCAGGACACTGTGACTGGGCACAGCGCAGGGCCAAAGATGTGGGGCACATCCGGTCACAACAGCAGCCCCACGTCCCTTCTGGAGAGTCTGGATGGCCACCCCTGCTGTCAAGCCCCTGCCCCATGGGAAACTCACCTCCACTTGCCCTGACTAACAAAAAAAAAAAGTGTCCACCAAATGCCCCGGGTCTGTGGAGGGGCAGGGAAGAGGGGAAAAAAAAAAAAGAAGCGGGGAAGTGGGGAGAAAAGGGAAGATGAGAAACGCTTGTTGGAAAAAAAAAAAGGCGGAGAGGAAATGACACAGCTACCCCAAGAGAGGCAAAACGGGCAGTAAGGACGCCTGCAGGCCACTCCCTCCCCTCAGAGATCTGCCTCCATCCTTCCCTAGAAAAAAAAAAAAAAAAACAGTTCTGTCTCAACTACTAGCTAATGGTTTTTTCTTTGTAGAGGCATGGTTTTGCTATGTTGCCCAGGCTGGTCTCAAATTCCTGGGCTCAAGAGATCTTCCTGCCTCAGCCTCTCAGGCAGCTGGGACCATAGGCACACACCACCACCCCTGGCTAAAAAAAAAAATCTTTTCCCTTATTTGTTTTTTGAGACAGACCAGGCTGGAGTGCAATAAAAAAAAAAAGGCGGAGGTGGGAGGATCACGTGAGATCACCTGAG